TTACATGTTATTCATAGGTTATCTTTGATTATGTCGGATCATAATCGGAATCCCAAGAGAACAAAAAACTTGTTCTCTTTTTTTAAGCAAAAGAATGATGGGTCATCATCTAGTACATTGCCTTCTAGCTCTTCTTTATCTATTCCAATATGTGATGAGCAAAATCTTCCCGAGTCTCCCATTATCAAGTCTCAAGTTGAAAGAATTGAATCTGAAAGAGTCGATGATTATCATGATTTTAATATCAATTATCTTGAGCGTGATCCGGGATTACGTCGTCTAATATGCACATATCCGGTGAATGAACAAGATAATATGAGAAGAGCATATATTCTTTTAGGACCATATCAACCCGAGTTAGAAGATTATCCAAGCCACTAAGAAAGGCGGGACTTTCGTCGATTTAATAAAAAATGGTTTGGTCAATTCACTTGGCTTGAGTATTCAGTTGCTAAGAATAAGGTATTTTGTTTTCCTTGGTTCCTTTGTTCCAATGAATGACGAATCGTTTTGTGGAACATCAAGGGCGGAACCAAGAATTTTTCAAGGGGTGGGCTAGCTAAAGTTATTAGTTTAAAATTTAATGATTATTTTATTTGGTACTTACAATTTCTATAGTCTTTTTAGAAATAAAAGTAAACATTGAATCATATAAATCATGCTAGTTCATAGCTCCATAGACTAATTTTCAATAAGCTTTAACATAAACCAAATATGGTTTAACACCATAGTGGCTTTGTAGTTGTTTATGTTCCTCTTATCAATAAAATACTATCGCTCTTGATAAAAAAACAAAAAACAAAAACATACTAAATGTAACTAAAACACACATTTGATTACAATGCAACTATGTTCAATAACGTATTCTAGTTGATGAATCACTTGATGAATCCGGTAAGGAACAAATGGCTATTATTCTAAGATTTGTTGATTGTGGTTCATGGAATGGCTTACAAGCATTATTTCTTCAAGATTGTCCATATGCATATTATGTGCATTGCTTTGCTCATCGCTTGCAATTGGCATTAAATGGTGCAGCTAAAGATGTGAAAGTTTTATGGAGGTTTTTTTTAATGTTGACTAACATTGTGAATTTTGTTAGTACTTCTGCTAAGCACCGTAGTGAGTTAAACTTAATTAGAAAAGTTGAACTCAATGGGTTATTGGATTCTGGAGAACTTGAGACAGATAGAGGACTTAATCAAGCTCGTAGTTTGAAACGAGCTGGAGCCACTCGTTGGGGCTCTCATTATGCTTCTATTACAAGTTTGATGTGTATATTTAAAGAGACCAAATTACTTCTTCAAGAAATCAGTGATCATGGATCAAACCAACAATTTCGTGGCGATGCTGAGAGTAACTATATTGCTATGATGTCTGTTGAGTTTGTGTTTTCATTGCTTTTGATGGATAAAATTATGGGATTGACCAATTTTCTTTGTCAAGTATTTCAGACCAAAACTCAAGATATTGTAAGTGCTTTAAATTTTGTTGAAAACACAAAAATGCAGCTTCAAGATATGAGGGTACATGGCTGGGATGATTTATTCTGTAGTGTGGTATCATTTTGTGAACTACATGGTGTTGATGTTTCTAATATGGGTGCTCGTTATATGACGGGCACACATCGTTCTTGTCAACAAAAAGATTTTATTACATTTGAGCATTACTATCGCGTTGATGTATTCAATGATGTTATAGATTGCATGTTAAGGGAGTTAAATGACAGATTTCTAGAGCAAACAGTTGAACTTCTTATTCTTAGCTCAGCATTGGATCCTCGCAATTCATTCAAATCATTCAATATTGAGCACATATGTAAACTTGCTGAGAAATTCTATCCTGCTGATTTCCTTCCAAATAAGTTGAAAGATTTGGAAATAGAGTTGAGGTATTTTCAAAATGATGTACATCGCCTTCCTTGCTTTAAGGAAACCAACACTCTTCCTCATTTATGTCAACAATTAGTGGAAACAAGTTTGGTAGAGAACTATTGTTTGATCAACAGGTTGATTTGGTTGGTTTTGACTCTTCCCGTTTCTACAGCAACAACGGAACGAGCTTTTTCATGTATGAGAATTATTAAGAATCGGCTTTGAAGCACCATAGTTGATGAGTTTCTTGCTGATTGTATGACCCTTCACATTGAAAGAGAGTTTGCTAATAGTATCACTAATGCATCGATAATTGAGGAATTTAAGATTTCTAAGTCTCGGAGGGTAAAATTTTAGATTTAACTAGTGATGTTTTGTATTACATTTACTTGTGGTTTTTGTTTTTGTTGTTAAACTTTTATTTTTATATAGATGTATTTGAGGGTAAGGCTTATTACGTCCCCCCTGACTAGGTGTATCTTTTTTATTATTATTAATGAAATTTACTCGTACCATCGAGTTTAGTAATATAAGTTTCGCCCAATTGGTTTTCCAATCCTGGATCCGCCACTGTAACCACAAACCCATGAAGAAGATTCAACCCAAACCCACGAAGAGGATGATGAGGAGACTGATGATGATTATGATCATGAGGATAATGACAACGACGACGACGTTGATGATAGTGTTTTCTCACAGCATGTGCAAGGTAGCACTACATATTTTTTTACCCTTCCTTTATATTTCTTGCTTCTTTTTGCTGTGTACTGTTTCGTATTTACCCTTATTTCAGATAATTAGTAAGAAATATAATCAGCCTCGCAATTTTTATTTTTATTTTTTTCAATTCATGCTAATTCTTCACGTGACACTAGACCACACTACGATTTATAAAAAAATAATAATAATCTCGTTCAAGATTTGGAAAACATGCAAATCCTCAAATAACATTGTCAGACCACCTAATTATTCCATTTCTTGATTCATATTGAGTTTTTATATTTATATTATTTTATGTTCCTTCAATATGAATCGCATTAGTTTTAAATTTTCTTTGAAGGGTAAAAAGTGAATTTCAAAGTTTACAAAAATGGTGCTGGCTAGGTTGAGTGAATTTTGAAATCCAGCGGTCCACAAAACAAAGAAGCCCGCCCACAGATTCTAGAGAATCCTAGAATTTTCCAGAGAAAATCACAGAAGCGTTTGCAAGGCCCAGTCTTCACTAGAATATTCTTGGCTTCCTTTTAAATACCCAACCAATCCTCTACTTTCCCAAACCAATCAAGCAAATCTGCAATTCTCTAACGACTCAAATTCTCAAACTTCCTCAGCATCCAAACAAAAAACCCATCAATTTTTCCGATGTCGATCATCCCCAGCTTCCGACGAGGCGGCATTTTCGACCCTTTCTCTCTCGATGTCTGGGAGCCGTTCAAGGATTTCCCGTTCCCTTCCTCCTCATCACTCTCCACATTCCCTGAATTTTCCCGGGAAAATTCAGCTTTCTTGAACACGAGGATCGACTGGAAGGAGACCCCGGAAGCCCACTTGTTCAAGGCAGACCTTCCGGGGCTGAAGAAAGAAGAGGTGAAGGTGGAGCTCGAAGAAAACAGGGTGCTGCAGATCAGCGGAGAGAGGAAAATAGAGAAGGAGGACAAGAACGACCAGTGGCACAGAGTGGAGCGCAGCAGCGGCAAGTTCTTGAGGAGGTTTCAGCTTCCTGAGAATGCAAAGGTGGACGAGATTAAGGCTGCAATGGAGAATGGGGTTTTGAGTGTCACTGTTCCAAAGGCAGAGGTGAAGAAGCCTGATGTCAAAGCCATTGAAATCTCTGGTTAATATCGTCTCTGTATTCTGTACTGCAGGCACCTTCGCATTTTGTATATCTACGTTTGATTTTGGAGTGTCAGTTGTCATCAATGTTGATATCAATAAAACGAGTGTGAGTGTTTGTAACATAATGGCTTGTAACTTGTTCGTTTTTAATATAAATGGATCGTAATTGAGGCTTTGACAGGTTCCTGTTTTGAATTGCATTTGTATGTGTTGCGTTTCTGTTTTCAGATCTCTCAGTTCTCTATTTAAAGTTACGTTTACTTTTGTTTCTGAATTACAGTCTTTTGATACCTTATCATGACTCTGTTCGCTTTTGCTTTCCCCAAATCTTAAAAACATTTGGAAAACCGAGTAACGCGGAACGGCTATACTATTATAGAACATTTTTAAAATGACGTATAGCCGTTCGGCTATACTATTTATTTAAAAAATAAAATTAGCCGAGTACAGCCGGCCGGCTGTACGATTTCTCTAAAAAAATTGAAAAAACCCCTGTATAGCCGACAGGCGGTACTATTTGTTTTAAAATCCTCCTCTCCACATTTCCCGAATTTTCCCAGGAAACTTCAGCTTTCTTGAACACGATGATCAACTGGAAGGAGACCCCAGCAGCCCATGTGTTCAAGGCATACCTTCCGGGGCTGAAGAAAGAAGAGGTGAAGGTGGAGCTCGAGGACGGCATGGTGCTTCAGATCAATGGAGAGAGAAATGTAGAGATGGTGGACAAGAACGACAAATGGCACAGAGTGGAGCACAGCAGCGGCAAGTTCTTGAGGAGGTTTCAGCTTCCAGAGAATGCAAGGGTAGACGAGATTAAGGCTGCAATGGAGAATGGGGTTCTGAGTGTCACTGTTCCCAAGGCAGGGCCAAAGCCATTGAAATCTCTGGTTAATATCGTCTCTGTATTCTCTACTGCAATTCACATTATGTATTTCTTTGTTAGATTTTGGAGTGTCAGTTGTCATCAAAAACCACAGGGACACGCATGCCCCAACAGGTAAAAAAGGAAAGGGATTGAACTGTCCAGAGGCAGCCCCGCCTCCCAAAGCTTGGAAAGATTTAGCCCGTGGCCCAAGCTAGCAATAGCATCAGTCGTGAAATTAGCCTCACGGAATACATGACTGAAAGACCAAGAATCACAAAAGGAGCTGATAAGCACTATATCTTTAATCAAGAGGTTGATACTCCACAGGGTCAAAGCTTTCTGATTAATGCAATCAATAATAAGTTTAGAATTTCCTTCAACAAGAACTTTGCGCCATCCTCTATGAGTTCCATAAGCAAGGCCATCCCGTAAGGCAATGCATTCCGCCACAAAAATGGTATTGTCACCAATGTTCTTAGCACTAGCCAATAAAATATGACCATCAGAATCTCAGATAACAAAGCTAGTAGCCGCTGAACCATTCCAAACAGAACCATCAAAATTCAATTCAACCCATTCACTTGGGGGGTTCCCATTTAATATGAAGAGGTGTTTTAGGCCCCTCCACCTTCTTGCAATTTTGGTGCTAATAGTCTAAACTAACCTGTCCAGCCACAGTAAGCACACAAACAGGATGTGGGTTGATGTCTTTGAAAATCAGGTTATTCCTAGTTCCCCAGATCTGCCAACATAGCAGCAGAGCTTTGGAAAGAATCTCAGGGCCTCTAGAAGCATCTTGCAGGATCTGCCAACATAGCAGCAGAGCTTTGGAAAGAATCTCAGGGCCTCTAGAAGCATCTTGCACCTGCACATTATATTATGTTATGTTCCTTCAATATGAATTGCATTAGTTTTTAATTTTCTTTGAAGGGTAAAAAGTGAATTTCAAATTTTACAAAAATGGTGCTGGGTAGGTTGAGTGACTTTGAAGTCCAGTGGTCCATCAGTCGTCTAACTGTGTTATGAGCCCACAAAGGAGCCCCACCCACAGATTCTCGAGAATCCTAGAATTTTCCAGAGAAAATAGCGTTTTCAAGGCCCAGTCTTTACTAGATTATTCTTGGCTTCTTTTTAAATACCCAACCAATCCTCTACTTTCCCAAACCAATCAAGCAAAGCGGAAATTCTCTAACGACTCAAATTCTCAAACTTTCTCAGCATCCAAACAAAAAACCCATCAATTTTTCCGATGTCGATCATCCCCAGCTTCCGACGAGGCAGCATTTTCGACCCTTTCTCTCTCGATGTCTGGGAGCCATTCAAAGATTTCCCATTCCCTTCCTCCTCATCACTCTCCACATTCCCTGAATTTTCCCGGGAAAATTCAGCTTTCCTGAACACGAGGATCGACTGGAAGGAGACCCCGGAAGCCCACTTGTTCAAGGCAGACCTTCCGGGGCTGAAGAAAGAAGAAGTGAAGGTGGAGGTTGAAGACGACAGGGTGCTTCAGATCAGCGGAGAGAGGAACGTAGAGAAGGAGGACAAGAACGACAAGTGGCACAGAGTGGAGCGCAGCAGCGGCAAGTTCTTGAGGAGGTTTCAGCTTCCTGAAAATGCAAAGGTGGACGAGATTAAGGCTGCAATGGAGAATGGGGTTCTGAGTGTCACTGTTCCAAAGGCAGAGGTGAAGAAGGCTGATGTCAAAGCCATTGAAATCTCAGGTTAATTAAAATTGAGGAATCTAAGATCATCTGCGTTCTCTAGTTCATCCACAGAGTATGTAGTAGAAATAAAGAGTGCCAAAATCAAAGTGATAATATATGTGAGTTTGTGTCATTGTGTGGCTGTCTGTAAGTGTCAAGTGTCATCCATGTAGTTATTAATGAAATTGTGTGGTTTCTTGTAAAAGTATATTATAACTTGCGTTTTAAATTTTATATATCCTACTTGAATTCTTTCGAATTCATCGTTTGGAACTCGACTGCAAAAAGTCGTAACTCAAGTAAAATAAGGTTAGAACACTGCTGTGTTGATCAATTTGGCTTAATCTCTCTAATTTTATTTTATTCATTATGTGAACATGAATTAATCACATTCTCTTCAAAGTTCTAGAGGTATTGAGCTCTTCGACAACTAGATGTTAATTATTCGTTTCTTCATGGTGGAGTTTGGAGAGTACATGTGTCTTCCTTTGGGATGTTATCAAAAGGGGAAGACATTTTCTCTCTTCTTTTTTTTTCTTTTTTTTGAAAGAGTAAATCATTGATAACAATTAAGAGGAAACAATAATGTCATCTTTTACTGCAGCATTACAATTAAGTGCATGCCTTACTAGAAAATAAGCTATTTGATTGCTCCCCCTTGGACAGAAAGAGATAGTAACATCTTCAAATTGTTGCAGACTCCTTTTAATATCATCAACGAGATGCCCACGACTCTTCCTCGTCCTTCTTTACTTCATTTACCACTCCTTGTGAATCAGACTCAATTAAATTAGAAGAGAAGCCAGCATCCCGAGCAAAATTCATCATGAAATGAAGTGCCATAATCTCTGCATATTTAGGTGAGGTAGCGGTGGCAAGAGGAAGGGCCATAGCCACCATCACTTCCCCTTTGTCATTTCTAATAACAGCACCAATTCCACCCACATTTGTTTCGGGAATATAAGCAGCATCAACATTCAGTTTATATTTACCGACAGGAGGAGGAGACTATTTGGTTGGTTTCTCAACATATTTATTTTAGGTTCACCTTTCACAAGATTTCCATATTCATTAGCCAAGTAAATAGCTCTTTTGAAAATCGCCTCCTGTGCACAAGAACGGCCTTCCACAACTACTTGATTTATGTTTTGCCACAGGCTCCATCAGATGTATAAAAACAGGCGCATTTCATACTTCGAAAGATAAGTAGTGGCAACTGCAAATAAATCTCCATAGTTGGAAAAGTGCACCCCTATAAAAACCTCTTTGAACTGCACATTTTCCACACTTTTTGAGCACTAGGACAACTCCACAAAGCATGAATTACACTCTCAGAATTCACATTACAAATGGGGCAGGAGTCATAAGAGATTATTTTCCTTTTAAGCAGATTAGATTTACAAGGAAGATAATTTTTAATAGCTCTCCAATTGAAGTATAAGAGTTTTTACGCTACCTCTTGGGACCAAACTTTTCTCTAGAAAGCACTTCGTATTCTTGGTTACGAAGAGGATCCAACCAAGGATTGAAATATTTGTCGATATATCTGTATTTTCAACTGTCGACACCGATATTGGAGGGGTAAGACCATATCTTCCCCTGTATCGACGATATATCCCCGATAAGTGCGATATCCCCGATATTTTGCAGATATTCCCGATATTTTGCCGATATCCCCAATATTCTCCGATACCCATAATAGAACTCAAAAAAAATTCAGAAGTTTTGAAGGCAATTGAAGCAAATTGAAACCCAAAAATAATTTTCAGACCAAAAAAAAAAAAGAAACCCAAAAATAACTAATCCTTGCCCAGAACCCTATAATTTATTAATATGAAAAATCTATGCACAGTCCACTGCCCACATACCTCCAATCCATCTGAAGAGGACATGGCGATCAATTTTGGATCTATGAGCATATGAACTAGACCTAGTACTAACTCAAATGAATCTTATGATTACTATGATTATGTCATGTCTGATTATAATGGAACTAGTTATAGAGCTCAAGATGATAAAAAAAGATTATGGACTTACTAGTTGGTTAATCCTAACTATCCTATATATGGGAAGGCAATAGGGAGCTCAAGAGAGACTTATGTGCATCATGTTCAAACATGGCTTACAAACTGCTCGGGTTACATGACTTGGTATGACTATTGTTTGAATCTAGATGGTTATTTCTCATTGTTTGAACCTCATAGGAGCTCTTCATTTATGTAGATGGACACTTATCTAAATTGTAATCCAATGTTTAAACAAACTATGGATTTATGCATGGTTTATTATTTCTAATTAAAATTTTATTTTCAAACTTTTCATTTACGCGCATTACATGCAACTTATATTTCATCATATGTATATCTTATTATTAGTAAATTTTGAGTTTTATTTGTTCAATACATTCATTGATAATGTACATAACATCTATGAAAGTTTTACACCAAAATTATGTGTTTCAATGCCTATATATGTTATTTTTGTTGATTTTTTCACGATACCTAAAACGATAACGATATAGCCCCCGAAATATCAGTAAATTGGGGACTCGATATTATCTGCATGGCCGATATTTTAATCATTGGATCCAACAGCCCCACTGCACTCCTTTTTTCTTGATATCGCCAGCCTATATCCACTTTTCATATAATAAACTCCATTAATCGTATAATGCCAAATCCATCTATCATTGTGATAATTAACACTCAAAGGGATAGAGGTAATGGCCTTAACATCTTCCGAATGAAAACACAAGTTTAATAAATCAACATTCCAATTCCCAATAGGAAAAATAAGAGCACTTACTTTAGTTTCTTGATCCAACACTTGAGGGGAAATAGGGCGGAAATAATTAGGTCTAGGAATCCAAGCATCACCATAAACAAGAGTTTCTTGTCCATCTCCAATCCTCTTCCTTAGCCCACTCAAGAGCAATTCACGACCCCAAATCAAAGACCTCCAAACATATGAAGAAGTTCTTCCTTTACTAGCTGCCAAGAAATTACAGTTTGGAAAATATCGAGCTTTAAGCACCTTGTGAACCATGGACTGTCAAGCCTCCAACATTGCTTAGCCACAAGCGCTTTGTTAAATACCTCAGATCTCTAAACCCCATTCCAAGTTACTTAATTATGGTAGGCAGTAGGCTTTACCTTAGTCCTCAACAAATTAAGACTTTTCTTAATGTTGATCCTTCACCATAGATCGCATCATTGACCTGCACCATAGATCGCATCATTGACCTGCTCATAATGTATTTTATCTTGTTAGTACTTGAATTAATCCTTTTTAGGATTTTATATTTTCATCATGTCGGCTCATAAGGCTTTTCTTGATCCTTAATGCCAGCTCATTTATATTTTTTCTAACTTTGTTTTTTTAAATAAAGCGACAATCTTGTCTTGTTTTGTTTTATTTTTCATAAATCAAGTAATAATTCAAAAATAGGGAAATTAAACTCGGATGCAAGTGAATAGACACATTATACTAACCAACCACCCGTTACACATAATTCTTTGTCACGAACTATCCATCCATGAGCTTGACCTTTAAAAAGCTCTTCAACTTATAATCTATCAGATTTAAAACTCAAGCCCAACGCTCCTACCTACCAAGGCCCATTAGTCTAAGCTGAGAGGACTGATTGATCTGTTGACTGCAGGCTAAGTAATGACTTTGGTGCCATCGTTTTTTTTTTTTTTTTTTTTTTTTTTTTTTTTTTTTTTTTCGGTCGAAACACACTTTCATTGAAAGGGAAATGACAAACCAAACACTTCAGCCAAACAAACAGCAGCAAAGCTAAACCACAACAGGAGCAGAAGTTACAAACTCCCGAAAACAACAAAACAGAGAAGTGCCATCGTTTTCACGTAAGCTTCAACGGTGAGAAGAGATTTCAGAGAGGTACAAATGATAATATGGATAATAGCTAAAACCTAATGATGGATGGTAGACTACATTATTTGTAAATTATATAGCAATGATCATGTTCGTATCTGGCTTTTAGTGGATTGTACTACTTTTTGCATATTATGATACGTACAATTTTGAGATCAATAATCCATATTAAAATAATTATAATACGTGAATTAATTACACCACGTAACGAAATTCTAGTATCATATATTTTCTAAATATATCCTACAGTTCACTAACAACAAATATTGTCCTTTTCTTTTTGGTTGCACGTTTCTTTTCAAGATTTGTCTCATATCCCCACCCCCACATGGCCAAACCGATTGGACAATGAAATCCCTAAATGGGATCCAAAAGATACGCATAGGGAAAGTGATACAAGTCTGCATAATTGCCAAGTTGGACAAATTTGTGAAGTTTATGCCTTTTCAGTAATAAAATAAAATAAAGGTTCCAACTTGAACGTCAATTTGTTTGACGTCCAAACCCAGGCTGAATCCCAGGTGACTACTTCCAAAATCACAAGCCCCAGTAAATCATGTAAGTCGTATTCCTTCTTTCTTATCGAGTGTTTGTTTGGTATGAAAATAGGAAAGGAAAAATCGTAGGCTAGGCTACATTGGCTTTGCATTAATTCCCAAGAAAGAGTAGACAACAAATCATTTTACAGTGTGGTATCAACGAGCACTTGGAAATTTCTTACCTTTGATCATACATAGATTTTTTTTTGGGTGAAAGATCATACATACTTCAATCATGAAGAATATAATGCTTGAGTGGTAATAATCATGGTAATGTTAAAAGTGGTTGAATAATATATAGTCAATTTGCCAATTATATGTAGCACGTTCATTTTTTTTCTTCTTCTAGGAATAAATCATTTTATCCCACATTCCTACTTAAAAAATAATTATGAAAAACGCTTTTTGGACAATGGTTTATCTATTGGAACCATTTCTCTATGTTTAGTACTGATCAACATTAAAAAGAAGGTTTATTTATTTATTTATTTTTAATAATTATAAATTTTATCACGAATGGTCTTTGAACTTTTCAAAAGTCTTCATTTGAGTTCTTTAAGTTTCAAATAAATCAATTTGGTACTTAATGATTTGCTCAACACATCAGTTTGGTCCATCTCGTCGTATTTTGTCAAAATATTTGTTAAAATTGGTCACATGATCAATTTTAAAGATGCATTTTAGTCAAAACACAACCTATCTACTATCCATAAGAAAAAGTAAATCTCACATATTTTGCTCAACAAGATTTAGATATTTGTATCCTGTCGAAGTAAGGAGCCATGGCAGATATGTTTGGAATATATTCCATTTTAAGAGAGTTGAAAAAGAACTATCTCGTTGAAATATGCTCTCTTTGATCGGATCCAAATGTAAAACCCTAAATGGAAAAAGATTACCTTGTGGAGCAAAAATGTGATTTTTATGAATCAGCTATATTTTAATGAAAATGTCATTTTAAAGTTGGTCAAATAATGATATGTGACAAAATTCAACGAATGTTTCGTTAGAATGCAACAATAGGGATAAAATTTCATGTGCATGCCAAAAGATGAAGGACCATATTGATTGATTTGAGAAATTAATAACTAAAATGAAGTATTTTTTTTAAAAATTCAAGGACTATTTGTGATAAAAACCCAGAAGAACGAGAAAAAAATTAGAAGAAATAATAATAAATTTTTTTACTGACTACGAGTATTGTAAAATTATACCTCAAAACAAAAACTTTTTTCAGTCCTTTTCGTTGTTTGAAATTTAACTGTCTGATTTTACATGCCTGTAAATTTATGAATACACAATCATGGCAAGTAGGAATGCTCTTAACATTTGTCGTGGCCTTATAATTCTTCTCAATCATGGATTCATAGGATTCATTTTTTATCGTTTTCAATATAGGGTCATCAGCATTACAATCTTGGATCTACATTGCAATGATGATGCTAAGGCTTAGAGCCTGAAATTCCCTTTTCCATCTGCATTATGCTTCTATTTTATTACTTCTTCTTCTTACTCATCACATCCTCACCCTCACCTTTTTCTTTATTCTTTTTCTCTTACTTTTCTCCTTGATCCCCTTTTGAGCTTAAAGTGATCACTTTAATCCCAGGCGCTGGTTCAAAAGCATATCCTCTTCAGTCTTTTGGTACATCTTATTTTAGGGATTATAAAAAAAAGGGATCATCACTTTGATGCTTTCTCCAGCATGTTTAACTGTAACAATAGTAAAGCGACATTCCTTCGTGCGCATGTTATCTTTATTTGTAAAGAATTTTGTTGGACATGGATTTTTAATTTTTTTATATACATATTTATGCCCTTAATATGAATTAAGTGCGTTTTGAGTTTTGGGTTAGAGCTTATCAAGGTCTCTTAGTTCTTTTTTTTTTTATTTTTACAGATAAACCACTAAGAAAGATTGTCGGCAGCAAGACTCGAACCTAAACATGAATAGTAAAGAAAACGATTCTTACCAACACAACCAATCCTCATTGACACTAATTGTTTACTTTTTAGAAAGGCAAATGTATTATTTTAATAAAAACGAAAGTGATGCACTTTTATTTTTGTGTGTGGCTTTTTATAGATTGCACTTTCGAATTTCACCTAAAGCTAAATGAAAAATAATAGCTTGATTATTTTTAATATAAAAAGATATGTTTTGACAAAAATGAAATTAACCAATTAATTAATGGTATTCATTTATCGGTAAATACACTTTGTTTTGACTCCGAGAGAATAAGATCAATTTGCCGGGTTCAGAGACAAAATTGATATTATGTTAGACATTGAAAACGACATTCACAACTCCTTAACCCAATTTAGGCGGGCCCACACTTTTTAATGAAAATCTTCATATACGAAGACCAAACCAAACCAAACCAAACAGGTAGAAAGTTTAAGAACAATTAAAATACATTAAGGCCCTTCAAAGTGGGCCCCAGGAACATACTTCCTGTCTTTAGGAGCCTATACGATGTGACCGCCCGATAATCCGTTCTTCCTTTTAGCCGTCCGATGACAACGATCGCCTCCTCTCTCTCCATCTCTCTCTGCTTTGACTGTTTGTACCACACGGTACAAAACAAATTAGCTTCAGACTGAAAGAAAACACCACACACACACACACTCATCACACTCACATCAACACCTGCTCTCTCTCTCTCTCTCTCTCTCTCAGTTTTGCAGCTTAAGATTCTGAGAGAGGCTTTGGAGTTTGGGGAAAAGAAAAGCCAAGCATTTGGGATTACGAGGCTGCCCTACGATTCTACTTAGCCTTTGATCTCTGCTTTCACCTTTCTGTTCTCACAGACCAATGAGCCACCGACACGTATTGCTTCTTCTTCGAGGCAGTCGCAGTTTCCGTTAATGGCGTTTCCTGTCTCTGCATCACCAAAGATTCACTCTGGTGAGTACTATCCAGAAATTGCGAGAATGTTTTCCGTTTGTTTCCCGAGAAATGTGATTTTGTTGATTTTTCTTTGATTTTTGTGCTGGTTTGCGCGTTTTTGTTCATTTATTTCTGGATTGGAATTTGACAGCTGAAATATTTACTCGCTGGTTGGCAGCTGAGAAAGTGAGAGAAAAAGAAAACGAAAGGAAAGAGCTTTCCTTTTTCTGTCGTTCTTTTCAAATTTTTCCGAACGAACTGCTTCAAATTTTTTTGAAAGATGAGCGAGCTCTGGATTTGATTTTCGAATAGCTGGCGAGCTTTGTCTTTACCATTAGGCTTAGCGGCGACAATGATGCCGACGATGACAGGTCGTTTTTACCCTTATCTTAGATTTTTGAGATTGGGTCTTAATGGACCACCAAATTCTTGGTTTTGAATGTGATTCTCTGCTTCCCTCTTTGTCCGTATTACCATATACAGCTCTTACTTGTCGTATTGCATGAGATTTCAGTTTCGCGCCATGAAGGTCGGCTTCATCATCTATCAATTCACATTATGAATTGATTAATACGCTACCATTTTGCCTAGTTCTTAGCGTAGTTGAGTTCTGTAGACGATAAATTTTCGAATTTTTATGCTGTGAGCTTATGAATAAAGGTTCTCTGAGCAGTGGGGGCAAATACCATTGTGCGATTTTCTCCTCCTGATTGTAAGATTTGAAATTTCTTAGAGCTTATCTGCTTCCCTGATATTCTTTTACTATTTTGTGGGAATTGACTGCATTTGTTAATGAACTATGTGCGCTGACTGAAAATGATGATAATCAAGATGCATGTTGTATTGTGTTTTGTTTTTGTTTTTTTTTTTTCATTGTGAAGTTTCCTGAAATAACTTTCATTCGAGATAGATTCCTGAAATAACTTTCATTCGAGATAGATTCCTGAATTCTTCTGGTGTAATCATAGTAAACACGGCAATTAGAATGTGGTTCATCTGACACTAATGTGGTCTAAGATGTTGAGAGGAGTTATGGTTCCACGTTTTTTTTTTGGGTGGCTTGACAAGGGAGACCTCCACGCCTTAAAACTTAAAAGAATTTATTTCTTGTTCAAAGACTTTGTTGCTTTGCTTCTTGACATGTGCAAAGGGAATTTTTCTTATGTCGATTAACCAATATTGTTAATTTAGTTAGTTAGAGAAAAATAGTCTACTTAGCAGATTGGTAGTAGTATATGATGGTATTCATGGTAACCTTCCATTTATTTTGGAAAACTTGTGTCAGTATTTCACTTTTTTGGGCTGCAGTATTCAATTTTCTCTTTATTTTATCTTCAGACTGGCCAGCATTGTTGTGAATCAATCCATCTGCTCAGCTGAATAAGAACATATGGAGCTTCCTTGTAGCAAGGTTTTCCAGGTACGATAAACCAGGGCATTGCAGATACCACCATGGATGGCTGTTTAGAACCCATAAAGAATTCCAATGATCAACAATCTCTAGGAACTTCTGGTAACATGTTGCGCCAAATAAATGCAAGTATAAATCTGCAAGACAAGGCCCAATCAAGAAAGCCTGGTTTGTCCTATGCCGATCTCCATCATGAGATTACAAGAAATGTAAAAGATATCCCATCTAATTCTGTTGGGAACCACCAAAAGCAGCGGATTAATAGAAAGACAACTGCTGAAGAAGAACTTGTTAGGCACATGTCAAATTTGCCAAGTTATCTTGAGAGAGGAAAAAACCTTCAGGAGAAAGTTTTAAATGTTGGGGTCCTAGACTGGGGCCGCCTAGAAAAATGGCAGTGTAGCCATAAACAGATGCCATACAGGAGTAGCCGTTATTCACCGTCCAGTAGTAATACAACCTCATGTTTTTCGACGGATGGATCATCAACCCATTCCAGCCGAGGTCACAGCCGTTCTCCTGCTCAGCCAAGGATGCATCGTCATTCACTGCAATCTCATTTCACGAAATCTCCAACAGAAGGCCATTCCGAAGTTGTCACCTCTTTTGGAGAAAGGGTTGAAAAGTTTGAAGACCTTAAAGCTGACCAGAGTAGCACCGTGAATGGGTCGGAAAAGTTCATTGGAACAGATACATCTCTATGCAGAAGCCGCATAGACACGAAGGTGGAACAGAGCAAGAGTAAAGATTCAGATGCAAAGAGTGAGCCAGAAAAAAGAAGTTTGTGGAATGGCCCACATTTGGAAATGGCAGCTCATTTAAAGGTAAAGAAAAAGACTCAAGTTGGTGAATTTATTCAGAAAGCAGAGAACTTACAGAAACCATATTCAGAAAATTTTGAATTAGATATTCCTGAAGGATGCAAGAAAGTTGTTCTGCTTTTGCCTAGAGATTTTCCCGAAAACAATCACTCTGGGGTTTCCCACCTTTCTGATTCAACAACACTGCTTCATCAAAGAGCAGAGAAAACTACTCGAGCAAGCTCTTCAGAGAGACCCAAAGAGGCCTGCCATGCAGAGCTCAATTCTGATTTCCCACATTTGTGCCATTTTCCTTCTGAAGTTGAAAGTAAACACTCTCGGGTAAAACACCTTGGCTCCACAGATGGTGCGACTCTCAGATTTCAATCTAATACACCTAGCTCAGCATCATTGTCAGCTAAAACAGGAACAAACCCATACAGAGGCAGAAATGTAGAAGAGAAAAAAGTAGCAGTAGTGTCCACATCTTCTTCAACTGTAAGTGAGCCTTATAAAGGATTGGATCTGAAACCAAGCAAAGCAACTGCTGAAAAAGTAGGAAACACTTCACCTTTTCGCCGATTTAGCATCGGTGTGGGTAAGATGAGTAAGCATACGAGTTCTAAGGACTGTTTAGATACACAGCAGCTGAGCTCAACAGCTTTTTCAGCTAAACCTGGTTCAGAGAACACTGTGACTTCCACATTCTTAGGTGCTTCAGATGGTCAAAAGTCCAATGCCACTGGCAGAGCCAAGTCCCCTCTGAGAAGGTTACTGGATCCACTGCTGAAGTCAAAGGTGGCAAACTCCCATCGCTTAGTGGAGCCATTAGAGAAAGATTCCATATTGTCTGAGGGGCGGGTGGATTCTTTGTCCGAGCAGCCAGGGAAGGTAAAATTAGGTATGACTGGTTGTAGGACAATTAATGTCAATGAGCCAGTGAAGGCCAAGAAGTGTGGATCAACTGCAGTTCAAGCTCTTCTACGAGTTGCAGTTAAGAATGGCCTGCCCCTGTTCACATTTGCGGTTGACAATGACATCGATATCCTTGCAGCCACGATGAAGAAGCTAAATACCTTGAAAAAGGGTGACTGCAGCTGCATCTACACATTTTTCAGTATCCGGGAAGTCAAGAAAAAAAGTGGAACTTGGATAAATCAAGGCAGCAAGGGCAAGAGTCACGACTACGTCCGTAATGTTATTGCTCAAATGAAGGTCGCTGATTCTCAGTTTCCCAATTTGGTTAGACCGGATCACTTTACCATGAGAGAGTTTGTTTTATTTTCTGGAAACCTGAGACAGGCAGATTGTGAAACCTCAGACTTCCAGCCAAGTGATGAGCTAGCTGCTGCTGTTGTCAAAATCCCCAAAATGGTCAGTCAGCAATCCACCGGAGATTGGCATCATTGGGATAACTGTAGTAACTTGCCTGCGGTTGGTTCAAAAGAGTGTTTGTCAAGGGTGAGACGCCATTCTTATTCTGGGGAAGCTGTAGAGAAGCCTTTTGTTGGTGGTCAAGGCCTAATTAGCACAACAGTCATACTTCCAAGTGGTATCCATAGTCTACCAAGTAATGGGGGACCATCATCACTGATTGAACGTTGGAATTCAGGTGGATCATGTGACTGTGGAGGTTGGGATTTGGGTTGCAAACTTAGGATATTTGACAATCATAATCCAGTCAATGAGAAAGTGAAATCACATAAGGTTTGTTCCATCACAGATCGGTTCGAGCTTTTTCAGGTATAGTGTTTTTCTTGAGCCAGGGTGATATATAATTTTTTTTCTTTTCCATATTATTCTGAAAGTTACCAACTAATGTTACCTTTTGCTTTCATTACATATCCACAGGGAGGTTTACAAGAAAACCAGCCTACTTTCAGTATGTCCCCATTCAGGGATGGTATCTATTCAGTTGAGTTCAGTTCTTCAATCTCAATCTTACAAGCATTCTCCATTTGTATAGCAGTATTAGATAGTTGGAACTTATGTGAGTTCTCGGAGTCAAGGAAGTCGTTAGAAGAAAAAACTTCTGGAGAAAGCATATTAATGCAAAATGATGGATTAAGTGCTCCAAATCGAACGGAAGGGGAAGTTCCTGCAAGATATGTCTCATATCCCCCACTTTCTCCAGCCGGGAGGGTCTAGTTTTACCATGATTACCTCTTATAGTTACCATGTATCTTCATTTGGCTGGGTTGGATTTTAGATTCATGATCCCCGTGAAGATACTGGTGTCTTGGATCCGCAGAGTACTTTAGATGTCAGAAGTAATATGAAGTGCATCAAATGTATTCTGAGTGGAACTGTTTCATCAATTTAAATGTGCATATAATGAGTGAATAGTATGTTGTTTTTCACTTTGAATTTTAATAAACTCAATTTCTGATGGGAATATTGGAGAATAATGATCCAATTCCTCCAGTATTGGGGTGCAAGCCCCTCCTTGAAATGGAAACATAAGGCCTTGCAGGCTGTTTATTTGCCCTTTTGGTTACTCATTTGGTGTGCATTTTCCGGCTGCAATGTTTTTCCATGCCTGATTCAACAGATTTCTGTACATCAAAGGGATGTCTCTCACACTTGTACATGCCTGTCCGCATACACATACACACGAACACACACGTAGAAGATACAAGTGAGCTGACATCAACTTCCATTGTAAGTCATAATCAGGGGGTCCCTGCATCAAATCTTTGCTGTGAAGCAGCTCCAAATTATGGAAGTTGCAACAACAAGATGTCCTACAAGGCTAAAACAGTGAGCTAGAATGCCAGGAGTGCCCTCAAGGTGGGGTGTATTGATTGCTGGGTGCTCTAAGAGAAATCTTATCAAAGTGGCTTTCTTTGCTGCACCTTTAAGGAACACTGGTTTGCTTCTTTTTGAATGCAGTACAAAACTTAGGAGGAAAGCCAAAAGCAAAAAGGAGGACGTCTCACATCACATATATATGATACATTTACATTGCGTGGGAACTATGAAACTACCATATAGCATACACTTCCAATATGGGTTGTATTTGGTCATTATGCATTGCATCTTAGACTCACCAAAAGGTTATGTACCTTGCCTTTGTTAATGGAGAGCAGCTCTTATGGGACAATTTAATATGTTAAACTGGAGAAAATGGATTAGGTTTTTTTTACTCTCTCATTCGGGATGAGATAATTACCTTCTTTTTCAGTTGGACAAAGTTGAAATTCATCATACTTATCGAGAAGCTAATATGATACTAGATACTCTAGTCAATAATTGACATAAATTTACACAACCTTATGATTGGTTTTCTAAATTTTCGTTTATTGTAGTTGTAAAAATTCGTTTTGATTTTCGGAAATTCCTCCCATTGTGATTTTGTATACGAGCTATATTAAAGGAGAGAGATTTCACACACATTATCAATGTGCTATTAGGTTCGAATCTAAAACCGTCGGTCTACAGTCAAAGATCTTTTTTCACTAAACTAAAATTTTATGTTAAGACTTATCTCTCTCTCTCTCTTTTTTTGGTCAATTACATTGTGCGATAGAGTTGAAGATGAAGTGGGACCCCTACTATTGTGGGTCCATCATCCCTGATATCGGGTTAAAACTTGTTTTCGAAAGTTGTAGCCGACGTTTTAATAAATAAAATAAAAAGTTGTAGCCGACATAGGTTCTCCATCGGCTTGCCACGTGAGCGCGTTCCTTCTTTTTTTTTTTTTGGTTTGAACCACGAGGTGGTCCTGGATAGGCCCCAACTATGGGTGGCACCTTTAAGCCTTAACCACAACCCAGACTAATCCCCGCTCACACCGGGTCGGCCCGTAAGGGGTAAAGTGCTGGCCAAAGTGGTGACTCCATACGAGAGCAGGGATCGAACCCCTGACCTTCTCTTAAGGAATGAGGTTCCTTCTTTTCACGCTTATTGGACACGTCATGCATATTTGCTGACTCTTCTTCTTCCAAAAAAAAAAAAAAACCAGGAAAAAAAAAAGTTTTGAAAACTTTTGTCCCAAGTATTTATTTTATTTTAAATTAATTATTTGGTTTTCCCATCTCACTCCCCCCACTTGGAAAACCTTCTTTCTCAACTGCCACCTCCGAGACCGAGAAGACTGAGAGAGACAAAAAGAGTCAGAGAGAGTTTTGAATTAGGTGAAATTCTGTTGCTGTAGATTAGATATAGATAGATTCCTATTGATCCCAAACCTAATTTTCGAATTTTGAAGTCAAAACTCCAATTCCATTTTCTCTGCCATTTTTTGTTTTCATTTAAATTTAAATTTATTATCACGTTGGACGATTCGAATTCCAATTTATAGCGGTTTATTTGGAGTTCTTAATGCTGATTGATGACGAGCTTTAACCTCATATCCCAAAATGCCGGTTATCTTTGCTCGTGAGGCTCCCAAGGTTACAATGAAGCCCGCCATTGCTGTTTCTGTTCAACTTTTTTTTTTTTTTTTTGGGTTTTTTTTTCTTCTCTTTTGACAAATTCCAATTTTCGTTGAAATTTTTTTTTTTGGTGTTGTTTGAAATGTGAAGCTATGGAGGAAAGTATGCTCAGAGACGTCAACTGAAATTTCGCTTCTTGCCGGGAATTGGAAGTATTTTCTTGCTGGTCTCGTTTTTCAGGTTCATTTCTTTTTCTCTTTCTGCTTCATTTTTTTTTATAACTAGGAATTATTATTGGCAATTAATTTGTATTGAATGTTCATGTAACTTGTGAACTGCTGGAAGCTTATTCCATTAGAAAAAGTTGATTAGAAATGGTTTGAATTACATGATTATATGGAACTACTACTAGTCATAGTTGTTCTGTTTCAAGTTGGGCTTTAAACTTGAATTTCAATGCAGTGGATTGAATGGTGTTGGTTTAATTCACACTATTTGTTCTGCAAATGTGTGTAAGCCGGAGAAGAATTATGGGCTGATCTCAGTGATATGAAACCTTTCTGTGTTGGACAAAAAATTATGTTCTGAGCCGAACTACTTTCCCTCTTCATAGGCTTTTTCTTTTCCCCCTTTTGTTTTTTCAGGAGCTCTTGTTCAGATGCTTATATAGTAGTTTTGTTTGTGTTAACAGTATCTTCATGGACTAGCTGCTCATGGTGTTCATTATTTACATCGGCCAGGACCGATGCTTCAGGATGCTGGGTTCTTTTTCCTCCCGGTGGGCATACTTTTAAGGATTTTTATCCGGAGGCTTTAATTTTTGATGTAACATTTGTCATATAATTAATTTTCTGTTGATTTGTGATATCTTAGGAACTTGGTCAAGACAGATCTTATCTTAGCGAGACTCTCTTTTCAGTCATCTTTTTCTCCTTTGTCTTGGTAAGCCTTTCTGTTTTCTAATATCAACATCTACTTTAAATTTATCCTGGATTTGTCTCTCATGTATTTGAAGGGCCAGTTGTTCTTGCAGTCCATTTCTTTAGTATTTGCTCCTAATTACTTGTAGAACTTTGGTAGCATCCTAATCCAGATTTATATTCTGTTGCAGTGGACTTTTCACCCCTTTGTTTTCCAGTACAAAAAGATATATACAGTTCTGATATGGTGCAGAGTATTTGCTTATTTAGGCGTAAGTACAGCTGATATTTACAAATGTTGTTTTTGCTGTTTACATCTACTACACCCTTAGCTGCTTAAACTCTTCCTTTTAGATCTTCCTTATTGTTCTCTCTCTTTAGGAAGTTCATTCACCTAGGTTGCATATGTCCTTGGTTCTTTGCTGGAAACACTTGAGTTTTTGCTTTGGCATTATAAAGGCTTACCATTGAAACTGTTTTCCCTTTTGGTTTAGTATGGGCTCATATCAGGTAACAGTTTAATCAGTAGCCATATCATCATCACATGCTACGTATATGTGTTATAAATCCTTTTTAATTTTCCCTAGTGTTTTGAATCTTCTAGTATGCAATAAATATCTATGTCGATGAAAATTTGGTGAATATGCTTGCATTAACTACAGAGTCATCTGTATTTTCCTCTTTCAACCCAATGTTCTTGGATTATGTGTCCTGCTTATATGATACTAGTTCTTGAGCTTGGTTCATTTTCTGAAGCATCTGACTGGGAATAGCACTCAGGACAGTCTTCCATATATGAATAAAGAATGCATGATTTATGTGCAATTTTTTTTTCTTTTGAAGTTTTGACTAGTGAACTGATTCATGGATCAATGGATTAATAGTATCCTGTGTTTTTCTGCTATATTTTCTGACAAATTCTTTGCGTATATGTTGCATTATGTTAGGTCTCTCAAATGCTCCGGATTATAACCTTCTACTCAACTCTGCTTCCTGGTCCAAACTATCATTGCCGCAAGGTAAAGTTTATAGAAGTTTGCAATTTCGGTTGTTAGTTCGCTGTAATCAATAATCATTAAGTAGTTGTTATTAAACGATGTTTTACAATCAGGTACCACTGTCTCTTTCAGGGCTCAAAACTTGCCAGGCTGCCCCCTCCAGAGAGTGCACTTGAAGTGCTCTTAATCAACTGTGGGTTTAAATTATTCATCTTTTAATTTTTCATGGTTCATTAACTTCATAAAACATAATCTTCTTCATGCTTATATGATTTGCATGATTGTGCAGTTCCCCGAGGAGTAATGTATGGTTGTGGTGATTTGATCTTTTCATCACATATGATTTTTACCTTAGTATTTGTGCGCACATATCAGAAATATGGAACAAAGAGGTAACCATTACTATTAGCTGCATCTTTTCCGTTCTTATTTCTTTTTTTGGGTTGGGGGCTGTTGTCCTCTGGTGCATCTGGTTCCCCAATAATGATGTTGAAGAAGGAAAGTAAAGCAATCTGTGTACTGATGTCCGAGGGGTTGGGGCCTTGAGTCATTATTCAATTTCACTTTTCTAAGGATATCTTCTAAATGGATAAACTAGTATAAATTTTGACACTACTGCGGCTTATCATTACAGGTGCATTAAGCAGATTGCTTGGTTAGTTGCTGGTATTCAGAGCCTCCTGATTGTAGCATCTCGCAAACATTACACTGTTGACATTGTTGTTGCCTGGTGAGAGATGGATCCTGTTATGCTTTTGAAATTACTCTACTGGAATATTTAATAATCTATTGGTCGAACATAAGTTTTATATTCCCGTGCAGGTACACTGTAAATTTGGTAGTGTTCTTTATTGACCAAAAATTGCCAGGTTAGCAAAATGCAATTCCAATAATTTTTTCTCTATCTTAAAAATGGGTGAAATTTGTTCTGGATTCCATTTTACTGTTAGATCATGAACATGTCTAAATTTGATTCAGTTTTGTATATTTAGAACAAAACAGAACTTTTTATGGGCAGTAATTGTCAAGCTCTTTAGAATACCCAAAGGTTGTGTATGTGCTGACTGTATTCTTCCCCTTCACAGAATTGCCTGATCGGTCCCTTGGTTCTACATCTCAACAACTGCTACCAATAAGCAGCAGAGATAAAGATAGCAAGAACAAAGAAGAGCTTGACAAATTCCGGAATGGAAATTCTGCCAACATTGCCACTTGAGTCTGGAAAACCAGTAAATATTTCTTATTGTCTCATTTAGTTTGACCTCATTTTGTGAGTGCAAACATCATGTGTAATGCATGTCTCCAGATAGGAAGACCGACAAATCAAAAGTTTCGAAATAGGAACATACTTAGCATTATATGGTACATAGATGAGCAGCACAAGCTGAAGATGGCTTTGCTGCTGTTAAAAGTCCTAAGTTGCTTCAACAGATGCAATATTGTCTCTTTAGCGAGGCTGATGAACATAATTTGTATTATTGCTGGAAATGGAATGGTTTAGGTTTTAGTATGCTCATGAGTAACCACTTTTTCACTGTTTAGTGTCACACACATCATATTTGTGCAGCTGACTCTTACTCATACATATACCGCCATCGTAATCATCATCATCATCATCATTATCACCTGTGTCGTCATCATCACAGGAATGAATTATAGAGATTGTATGCACAGGAATGAGTCAAGAAAAGTGGTGACTATGGATGAAATCCAAGTCATTGTGTTGGAGCACCAGGTTGTCATGTTTAAAAAGATTGCTTCAAAATTTGGTCCACAAAACAGGTTGCGTGGGGTGAAGAATGGGAGAGGCATCACATACAATACAAGACAAGAGGGCTTAGTATTTTTCTCAAAGGGCACAGTAACTAGAGGAAGCAATTAGGGCTGGCATGACCCAATTATGCAATTTAATAATGCTTCTTGTCTCATGACCCACAAGGACCACCAACCCTTTTGCTTTCCAAATGCCCTTTCTTTTTTCCCCATGTATATTCTCTCTTTTCATAGGTTGTTGAAGCATGATATTGGAGACAGCTCTTGTTACATCACATGCCTCTCTTGCTTGCTTTCCCTTCACTATCTGAGCAACTGTTTCTTTTCCTTTTTAGCTGCAAGTCTCTTAACTTTTAGTGCCAACGTAATATCTAAACTCTGTTCATCCCTCCAAATGTCAAATGTATCAAAAAGATAGCAATTATGTCATTTGCATGGACTTCCTCTCTGGGATGGGTGTTTTGCTGAAATGGAAAAAGGTATGTTGCTGCCTCCAGTTCTGGTTTTCTGAGCAACTGTTTTGGGAAATAAATAGTACAAGAAAGTAAAATGGCAAATCCGTGGAATTCAAGAGTCTCTTGTTTTGGCCTGTGGGTTTTCACATTCAAATTTTCCAAATTCGTCAGTGTCCTATAGTCTAGCCCTAAACCCTTTTCTCGTAAGTGGATTCTTATCTCATCCTGTTCTCATGATGTCTCTGTATGTATATAACTTTATACAAATGATCCAAGAAAAAAAACAGAAGAAAAATAAAGCAATTGTTTCGTGCCTAGTGTATTTGGGTGATGTGGAAAGGTTTTACATGCCTCCAACAACTCCAATAATCACATAATATAACAGGCGTTATTAGTTCAGTCATATTATAACACGTGTATTTACTTAAGTTGATGACATATCAACTCAATAACCCCTTAATATTATAGAACATGAGTTAGTAACATCACGTATCACGACAATGTGATCCAGAGTATGACATAGTTGGTGATGGTGATGTGGGATTTTATAACCACATTGGATTGATGCAAGTCATTAAACTTTGCCGTATACTTCTTTTCAACATGCGACTCCAACGTGCATCGAGAATTAAATTCTTAATCTCTTCTAATTGAATGTTTCGAATACATATTCCTTAGTTAGAACCTTATCTTAGTTTAGGATATATTATTATGATTGACCTCACCTACCACATTTGTAAAAAAAAAATTAAGGATCGTAGTGAAGCAGATGAATGAAATTATGAATGGGTATGGTCAGGACACCTTTTGTTGAAAATATTCTATGCATGTGGTCCACGAGCTAACGTGGCCTTGCATCTAAATTTAGGATATAATATAATTAAGGTACATTTCATAAGACCCAAAAAGACCTCATCTTTTTCCCATGCTTCCCAAATCCAAGAACACCACCACTAAAAAAAAGGGAAAAAAAAATAAAAATCAATGAGGTCTATCATAGTGGGAAAAGGTATTGACTTCTAGAACAGAGATCTCGGATTTGAAATCCCATTATATCTTGATTGTGTGTGTGAGAACCCCTTATTCTGTCTGTGCTGAATCTTAGCATATTAATATACAATTAGGGTGTAAACAACTATTTTATATGATTATATACAACTTTTTTTTATATAAAAAAATTTATTTATTTTCTGCATAAAAGAGCTGGAAAAGTTGGTCAAGAAGATCCTGATATCAGGTTGTATCAGGTTGAACGCATTCTTCATCATTTGAGGCATGTCTGGCTAAAGCACTGCATTTTGCTTTATTAATTTCATATTTTATGTGCACATAAATGTGGATGTGTTCTTTATTTGCGTAGTTGAACTGTCCAACTTCGTGTAAACTAAATAAATTGACTGCATTTTTTAATTAAAATTTTGGGTTGACAGAGAAGATATACAATTTGTACTAAGTCAGCTTTAAATTTGATATGCTAGGCTAGGTTCTTCTCACCATTTTCAGTCCTTTTGGTTTCAAAGGTTAGGGTGAAAATGACACTACATTATTAAATTTAATCCATAACTGCAACTTTACCTAAACTTAGTCTAAGATGTAATATTTGACTAGAAAATAAGTCTAACATGTAATCCATGACATTAATATTTCCTTTCTTAGATCACATATTTATATTAAAATTTACGTAATACAGATTCACAATATGACGATAAGTTTTTCTATAAAACGCAGCATATGTCGTAAATAAGGACTAATTTTTAATTAACTAATACTAACAAAGTTCAAAGTTTTGAATTCCACTAATGCGATCTTGTTGATATTTTTGACTTATTTTAAACTTTCTTTATTTTTTATGAGTAAGATTCTATTTTGTAATTATTAAACTATTTGGTTTCTAAAATTGGAGAAGAATTTAGTGGCTATAATACTTTTCATGTATAGATTGATAATATATAAAAGAGAAAATGGAAAGAGAAAATTAAAAAACGTAACCAAAGCAAAAGGGAGAAGAAAAAGCCACGAAAAACGAGAAACAGCGAAGAAGGGGACTAAAAACGAAAAGTAAAAAACGAGGAGCGAAATGCAGAAAACGAAGGAAAGGTGTGAGGGAAAGAAACAGAAAAACAAAGAAAACATTGGATCCAAAAAGTTACTTTTGGGTTTAGAAATTTTCTCACACTTTCTCTCCTTCCAAACACAAAATAAAAAAAATAAACAAAAGAGCAAAAGAGAAATATGCCTGTCTTGGTTTTTATTTATCCGTCTTTCTTCTTCATTCTCCATCATTTTCCTACCCTATCCATCTCTCCTCCAAAAACTCCTCTCAAACCTTCTTACTAGTCCCCAGGAAAGTGATAGAAAGAGAGCCATACTTTCTAGAGAGGAAATCACAGACACACATTTGAACTTTTCCAGCTGTTTCTCTCTCTAGGATTGGATTCATCAGCCAATGGGAGCTCGTTGCTCCAAGCTATCTCTTTGCTTCTGGCCGTCCAACATCAAATCCAATCTTAACGACTCTTCAGACATAGGTGAGCTTTTCTTATTCTTACTCTTTTTGTTCGTTTCAACTATTTGTTTTTCCGTCACTTTCCCGAGAAAATTTGGACTTTGTTTTTGGTGAGCTGCAGAGAATGGGAACAAAAATGAGAAGGACTCGCTGCCTGGGTTCAGTGAGTTCACCTTGGACCAACTGAAAGCTGCCACGTCAGGATTCTCGTCCGAGAACGTTGTCTCCGAGCATGGAGAGAAAGCTCCCAATGTGGTTTACAAAGGAACGCTCGACGATGGCCGTTGGATTGCTGTTAAGCGCTTCAACCGATCAGCTTGGCCCGATTCGCGCCAATTTCTGGTGAGTGTGGAAGTTGACTAAATTTTGCTTCTTTCTTATTTTGTTTTTTGTTTTATGATTCTGTGTGTGAAGATATGTGGTGGGTTTGGTTGTAGGAGGAAGCTAGAGCCGTGGGGCTGCTCAGGAACGAGCGTTTGGCGAATTTGATCGGGTGCTGCTGCGAGGGTGATGAGAGACTGCTTGTGGCTGAGTTCATGCCCAATGAAACTCTCTCAAAGCATCTTTTCCATTGTAAGTTCCCCTCTAATGTTGTTAAATTTGGCTTATTTTGATGTTAAGTAGGTGTATAATAATTGAGGACACAGATCATTCAAGATTTTGATTTTTTAAAGTACATTTTTAGAAGTAATCAAACTGCTACTTACTTGGGCTGAAATAAATAAAGGTAGTAAATTGGTTAAATTGGTGCAGGGGAGACCCAGCCGATGAAATGGGCGATGAGGTTGCGAGTGGCTTTGTATCTTGCACAAGCTTTAGATTATTGCAGCAGTAAAGGGCAGGCATTGTACCATGATCTTAATGCTTACAGAGTCCTATTCGATCAGGTAATTTGGTCCTTTTCTTTTTTCAAAATTGGATGTAATCTTTTGTTGGCCATTCCTTACACGTTGTCAATGACAGGATGGGAATCCCAGACTCTCCTGCTTTGGTCTAATGAAGAATAGCAAAGATGGGAAGAGCTATAGTACCAACCTGGCTTTCACCCCTCCAGAGTACTTGAGAACAGGTAATAATCCCATCATTGCTTCAGCCAATTGAAAACAATATTGATGTTATAACTTTTACACTAAGTTTGATAGGAGGGAGATGGGTGGGAAAGTTGAGAGGGAAAAAGACATCATGATCCCCATCCATCTTTTTGTTTTTGCCTCCTCCCTGTAAACATAGTTTTGTCATGTCTTCCCATGTAAATTCCAAACGCAATGATTTCTAGAGTTAAAACTTCCGTTTGTTTTGCAAAGATTCTCTTTTATGAAAATAACTGGAGGGGAAAAACAAGCGAGAATGCTATGCATACCTCAACTAATGAGTGGAGCAATTGAAGTTCCCTTTAATGCATTTTCATATTAGTGAGTTGATAAGTACTAAGTAGCCACCATACCGATGATTCGATCAGGGATGGCAGAGTAGTGGCCTTCTGGGCTGGCTGTGTTTATGTCATTCATGATCTCCTTTGCATATTTCCTTATCCCATGAAATTTCATTGGAAAAAGGGCCTAGTGCTTCCATATTTTCATGCATGAGTTCTGAACACACATCATAATGTGATAAAGTCTTTATTTGTGATGAAGACTACATGTATTAAGAGGGACCTCAATTCCTTGATAATTGAGGTCTGGTAGCATTCTCATTTGCATAAGCACTTCAAGCTTCTATATTTCTATGCATGAGCTTGGCCTCATTCGATAAAAGTCTTTAGTCGGGCTAAAGCTTATCTCTGTTTGGCAGGAAGAGTGATACCAGAAAGTTTGGTTTACAGCTTTGGTACCCTGTTGCTTGATCTGCTCAGCGGGAAACATATCCCTCCAAGTCATGTAACTTTTCTTTTCATTAATAAATTCTAGGTGAATTGTTGCTCTGATTTTCTTTTTCTTGGTCATCCAGTGGAAATTACACCCTACAAAAGTAACTTGTGTTTAAAATTGGTCTAAGTCAAACCTATCTGGTTGTGTCGCATTCTCATCACTTTCTGATTATATAACTGGCTTAAAATTTTATGAATTGGATTCTGATTACAATTATAATTTCCAATTTTCTTTCTGGAAGGCACTCGACCTGATACGGGGCAAAAACTTTTTGATGCTGATCGACTCGTGCTTGGAAGGTCATTTCTCAAATGATGATGGGACTGAACTGGTGAGGTTAGCTTCACGATGCTTGCAGTATGAACCTCGTGAGAGGCCAAATGCCAAGTCTCTTGTGACTGCCCTAATTCCGCTTCAAAAAGAAACTGAGGTGTGCTGATGCCCAACTTTATTTATTCTTTACTATATGCTTCAAAATTTGATTTCTGCTGCCTCTGTTTTGCAAAGTTCATATGCAGTAATGCTGCAAATAGAATACCGTGAAGGTAATTTATCATCTCATGTAGTGGTTTGTAGCAGGTTCCATCATATCTTTTGCTGGGTATTCCGCATGGAAATGCGCCTCTGAATCAGACATTGCTATCACCTCTAGGTGAAGCTTGCTCGAGACTGGATCTTACTGCAATACATGAAATACTGGAGAAGCTTGGATACAAGGATGATGAGGGGGTTGCAAATGACGTTAGTGATCCTCAATTCTAACTTTTCTATGTTATATTTTCTGACATCTGCCAACCATTATTACTATCCTTTCCGTCATCAATTTTTGCATCAGTTATGTGTATGAGCAAACTTTTTATGTTAATTTTGTGTAATGCACTGCCCTTACTTTGAAGTTACCTTGCAGCTTTCTTTTCAAATGTGGACAAATCAAATACAAGAGACGTTGAATTCTAAGAAGCATGGGGATGCTGCATTTCGAGCTAAGGATTTTGTTACCGCGATAGATTCTTACACAGAAGTAAGTCACAAATTTATACTTTTGGACAGGAATCAATTATAATAAAAAAAAAAAGAAGAAGAAATATTTGAATCTGATTAGATTTTATCCAAATGCAAAGTTTGCATGTCACAAGTTCCTTCATCAAAATCCAGATACATATTCAAATACACGGTGATATTGCAAGGGCGGTCACTCAGTTGAAAGCATCAATGATATAATTTGCTTCTTCATCTGGACTTAAGTTAGACAAAGTTATTAGTAGTGGGGTTACAAGAATTTAAATTTTCTGTCTTGCAAATAGGAAGCTATGACTTTGTATAATCAGATAACCTCACATGATTAGAAATGATAATTCCTTAGGAAATATTAGCTTTACAAGCCTACTACTATGCATATGACAGATAGAGTAGGATTGCATTCACTTTTCATCTTACTCCTAGGTGGATCTTGTTGCTCTTCATTGCAGTTCATTGATGGTGGGACCATGATATCGCCAACTGTGTTTGCTAGACGTTGCTTATGTTACTTGATGAATGATATGGCACAAGAAGCTCTTGGAGATGCTATGCAAGCCCTAGTAATAAACCCTGAATGGCCCACTGCCTTCTATCTTCAAGCAGCTGCCCTAAAGAGCCTGGGGATGGACAATGATGCGCAGGAAACTCTAAAAGATGGAACGTCGTTTGAAGTAAAAAAAAGTAAAAGCTGAAACTCTGTATAGGTGTTTTTCCCTCTTCTTTCATTTATAATTGTATCTAGCTTTTTCCATCTTCCCACTTTGACATTTGAGTTCTGCTCTGCAGCAACAAAGGATTAATTGTAACAATCTTTATGTCGGTCTTGGTGTATCATTTTAATTATTTTGATCTATAGAAGTCAAAATTTATTGTTTGTTTGCTCTGCTGTGTTTTATTTGATTTTCGATTTTTGAGTTTGTATCATGTAAAATGTCCTTTGGATTATAAATTAAAACAGGGGCATTGAAATGAATAATAGGTGCCTTATGATGCATCTCATTTGCTTATATATTATTTAATTATCCTTATCATTTGGCATTCCTCTACTGGAAGATGGCTCGTATGAAGTCATAATGTTTTTTCAAAGAGAAATGCTAGCAACTTTCTCTCTAACATTCTCCTTTGGACTTTCTCTCTTCTTTGCTTGACATGTGTCGTTCTCTTTACACTTAAAACAATGTCATTAATATATTATACAAGTTAACTTTTGCTTTCCAAGTTTACCCTTATTAAATGTATTCAATTTATCCAAAAACATTTCATAACTTTTTTACCATCTTATTAATTTCTTTCTAACGTCAGTTATTTTTTTTAAAGAACATATATGCTTTTTATAAAAAAAAAGAAAAAAGAGGAAATGTCCGTTTTTTTTAAAACACAAAGGACTTTTTTTTTCCCTATCTAAACCCTTTGTGTGTTTTTTTTAAATTTATTTTAAAAAAAAGGGACATTTCCTCTTAAAAGCAAATATGTTCTTTAAAAAAAAAATAATAAGATGGTAAGAAAGTTGTGAAATGTTTTTGGATAAATTGAATACATTTAATAAGGGTAAACTTAGAAAATAAAAGTTAACTTGAATAATATATTAATGACATTGTTTTAAGTGTAAGAAGAATGACACATGTCAAGCAAAGAAAGGAGAAGGTCCAAAGGAGAAGGTTAAAGAGAAGGTTGCTAGCATTCTCCTTTTTCAAATATTTTTTGGTAGAAGAAGGAAATATAAAACTCTATATAAAATGCTTTGGGCTTGGATTAAAAAAAAAAAACAAGACAAATAAAATGCTTGGGACGGCATGCATATTGAATAGCGTTCGCAAAGTGCGCTATTTTGTGCACTTTGTAGCGTACGCGATGCTCTTCTATATTAGGGTTAATTTTTAAAACCCAGACGCGCCTCCAGTCACGACTCGAGAGCATTTCACCTCTCAAAAACGCCTCCAGCCCTAACAGCAAATTCTCCGCGTAATCTGAAGCAAACATTGAGTGAGTTTTCGGAAAATCTTCAAGCTATTGGGCTGCGATGTAGCATTAATTCAGTAGAAATTGGTGGATTTTCGTCAAACCCAGGTTTTTCTTCTCTTCTCCTTTTTTCTTTTCTTTTATTTTAATTTTATTTTTTGTTTTGATTGTGTGAGGGTTCATAGGCTACTGTTGATTTCTTTTTTGATAAGAGGCTCCTGAGGAGGGATTCGAACATTCATTAGCTTTTGTCTCTCTCTTTCGACTTCCGCAAATTGAGAAACAATCCTGCATATTTTCCCTTAAGCTCCAGCATGTCTTTACTTAGCTCATTGATATATATAAAGCTATGAAACACCAATTCCTCATCCCTGTATTGCTGTTTTCCAAGTCTTTTTTTTTTCTTTTGATATGATTCATAGCAATTCCCATTGACCGATATCTCTTAATTAGAATATGATTATACATTAGTTTAGTATCTCTTTAGCACAGTTTACTGTTGTTTAATTACCACATTGTGTTTTTTGGAAAATTTGTTTATATTGTTTTTTTATGGCATATTTAGTTAAGTTGATTTTTGTTTGCAGATTTTGTATGTTGGTTTGTTTTTTTTATTTTGGAAGAATTCGTATTTGGTTTGATATTGTTGCTGCAAATTCATAATGACGAGTAAAAAGGATTTTGCTTTGAAGTGGGGGATACAAGTTGAAGGAGAAAGATACTTGAGGTGCTCTTTTTGTAATCAACAATGCACCGGAGGTATTACAAGGCTCAAAAATCACTTAGCTCATACTCACCATGGTATGAAGCCTTGTCCAAAGGTTCCACCAAATGTAAAAGCCAAATGTAGTGATTATTTGAAAAAAATTAAGGTGATCAATATGAAGTGAAATGAATCACTTCATGAGCTATCTGTCCAAAAGAAAAAAAAAGAATCACTTCGTGAGCTAGGCCAATTTGGGAGTAATGCTTCCAATGAAATGGAACAATCCGAAGATGGAATTGGTAGTGGGAGTGGGAGTGGGAGTGGGAGTGGGAGTGCTCCAACTCCAAGTGGCGAGAGTTCTCTAGCTCCCCCTAGGCCTAGAGGACCCATTGATAAGTATGTGTCTTCTGAAGCTCGGCAAGCTACACTGAATTCCAAGCTAAAAAAGGATGAAAGGAATGATGTGTGCCGAAAGATTGGGCGTTGGTTCTTCAATTGTGCAATTCCATTCAATGCCGTGAATAGTCCTTTTTATTTGCCCATGATGGAAGGAATTTCCAATTTCGGTCCTGAGTTCAAACCCCCTTCCATGCATGAGTTGAAGACTTGGATCCTTAAGCAAGAAGTTGAAGATATTCAAGCAACAATGGTTGAACATAAAAACGCTTGGAATGAATATGGGTGCACCATCATGTTAGATGGTTCGACAGATGGAAAAAATTGGGTTCTTCTTAACTTTCTAGTGAATAGTCCTCGCGGGACTTGGTTCTTGAAATCAGTTGATGGCTCTGATACAATAAAATATGAAGACTTGATGTTCAAGTACTTGGATGATGGAGTAGAAGAAATAGGAGAAAAGAATGTGGTTCAAGTGATTACAATTAATGCATCAAATTACAAGAATGTGGGGAAAAAGCTTATGGAGAAGAGGAAGAAATTGTGGTGGACTCCATGTGCTGCCCGTTGCATTGATTTAATGCTGGAAGATATTAGCAAGTTGACAGTTTTTGAAAATATTATTCAAAAGGGTAAGCAATTAGTGAAGTTCATTTATGGACATTCATGGGTCCTTTCTTTGATGAGGCATTACACTGACAATAAAGAGATCATCCGTCCAGCGGTGACACGCTTTGCCACTGTTTATCTCACACTTCAGAGCATTTATAAGGCTAAGAGAGGTATTATGTCTATGTTCACCTCCCAAGAATGGCATGATGGTCCATTCGCTAAAAACAAGGATGGAGTTGTGGCTTGTAAAATTGTACTACATGATGCTAATTTTTGGTCTCACGTTGCCTTTTGCATCAAGGTGGTTATTCCACTTGTCTCTGTTTTAAGGGAGGTTGATTCAGAAGAGAGACCTGCAATGGGCTATATTTATGAGTTGATGGATGCAGTAAAGGAGAAGATTGCCTTCAATTGTGGAAATGTGGAAAGAAAGTACAAACCAATTTGGAATAAAATTGATAAAATATGGGGTCCACAACGTCATCACCCTTTGCATGTTGCTGGTTATTATTTGAACCCGCAATTGCATTATGAAGAAACTTTCACAAACTCTAAAGAAGTGAGGGAAGGTTTGTATGCATGCATGGATATGATGTTGAGTGGAGATGAACGTGTTCAAGCAGATTGCCAATTGGACAATTATATTTATGCAGAAGGAGATTTTGGAAGTGAAGTAGCAGTGAAATGCCAGAAATTGTGATCACCAAGTATGGTCCTTCTATTCCTTTGTGAACTCTTATTGTTGGATTTGAAAATTGAATTATCTATGAATTCTTATTGTTGGATCTTCATAGTTTGTCTATTGTTGGATTCTTTTAGTCAATTGGTGGTTGCGTTTTGGGAGGGAGACACCGGAGTTGACTAAGTTTGCTGTCCGAGTCCTTAGCCTTACTTGTAGTGCATCTGGGTGTGAGAGGAATTGGAGCACCTTTGAATTGGTAAATTCCTTCAAATAATTCTTTGTCTTATAATATTTTAATATTTTATGCTTCTAGTTCTAATCTAAATGTCTAATATTGATTTTATATATATTTTTATTTTAGATTCATACAAAGAAAAGAAATAGACTTGAACAGAAAAGGCTAAATGCTCTAGTCTATGTGAAAGATAATACGGCTCTGAAGCAACGAAGTATTCAAAGGAAGAGAAAGGTTGATCCAATATTAGTGGATGATATTCCCTCCGATGATGAATGGATAACGGAGGTTGAGGAACCATCTCTTCCATTTGATCCTTCTTGGATAGAAGAGGAAGACATATTTGATGTTGATGCCATTAGGAATGTGCCAATTCCTACCTATGAAAGTGGTCTACAACCTCGAGAGTCAATTATTCGTAAGTCTGTTCTCGATGATCCTCCTACTGCTCCTAGTGAGCCTACTTTTAATGAGCGTATCCCTTCTCCACCTATCATTCAATACAAACGAGGTCGTGTTGAAAGATCAAGTAAGTATTAAAAAAAATTTAGTGATTCACTACATTTCTTTGTTTAGAATAATAGAATCAAATTATAACTTTTTATATTTATAGGTAATGATATGCGAAAAAGCAAGGCTCCAAAAAAGGTATGCTTGTTGATGAGGGATCAAGATGATATGAGTTGGTTGGAGCATCCCTTGGATGAAGATGCTAATAATAATGATATTGGTTCAAATCATGGTAGTTTGGTTTTGGATGATGACCTTCTTAATGATGACGAGGATGATATGAATGAGTGAAGATGATTTTTTGTGGTTTTTGGTGTATTGTGGATGATCTTTTTAAGATCAACATTATGTTTCTTTGGATTTGATAATCTTGTTGAACAAACATTTTTTAAATGCTTGGTTTTTGTGATTGAAGACAATCGGAAGTAAGTCACAAATTTAGAAATACAAAGTTTGCATGTCACAAGTTCTTTCATCAAAATCCATATACATACTCATCTGTACTTAAGGGTTTTTTTTTTTTTTTTGTGTGTGTGGTCATAATCTGGACTTAAGTTAGACAAAGTTGTTAGTAGTGGGGTTACAAGAATTTAAACTCTCTGTCTTGAGCATAGAAACTTTGTATAATCAGATAACCTCACGTGATTAGAAATGATAATTCCTTAAGAAATATTAGTTTTACAAGCCTACTACTATGCATATGACAGATAGAGAGTAGAATTGCATACGTTTTTAGTCTTACTCCTCGGTGGATCTTGTTGCTCTTCATTGCAGTTCATTGATGGCGGGACGATAATATTGCCAACTCTGTTTGCTAGACGTTGCTTATGTTACTTGATGAATGATATGGCACAAGAAGTTCTGGAGATGTTATGCAAGCCCTAGTAATAAACCCTGAATGGCCCACTGCCTTCTATCTTCAAGCAGCTGCCCTAAAGAGCCTAGGGATGGACAATGATGCACAGGTAACTCTAAAAGATGGAACGTATAGGTGTTTTCCCTCTTCTTTCATTTACAATTGTATCTAGCTTTTTACATCTTCCCACTTTGACATTTGAGTTCTTCTCTGTAGCAACAGAGGATTAATTGTAACAATCTATATGTTGGTTTTGGTGTACCTTTTTAATTATTTTGATCTATACAAGTCAAAATTTATTGTTTGTTTGCCCTGCTGTAATTCATTTGATTTAGATTTTTGAGTTTGTCATCATGTAAGATGTCCTCTGAATCATACATATTCTTCGATTATGAATTAAAACAGGGGATTTGAAATGAATAATAGATCACTTATCCTTTATCATTTACTTATTTAATTTTCCGTATCATTTGGCATTCCCTTAGAGGAAGGTGGCTCATGGGATAAGAAGGAAATATAAAATTGCAATGAGGCAGCACCGTTGGTCTTAATAAAATGCTTTGCATTTAATAAGAAAACAAGACAATGAAAAAGTCCATGATGTTATTGCTCGGAAGTCTCCCTTGAATTTGAGCCTTTGACCTTCGTGAAAGTGATGTGGTTCTACGTCAAGTTGCCCCCCCATTTTTAAGTTTCAAGCCATTTCTCTCTCACTTGGATTGAATTCAATAGTCAATGGGAGCCGGATTCTCTCTTTGCTTACAACCTTCCGATAGCTTCCGGCCATCTGATGTCGAGTCCAAACTCAACGATTCACCAGACACAGGTGAGCTTTCATTGTTAGTTACCATTGTTTTTGTTTTTTCAAATTTTCTGTCACATTCCAGAAAAAGTTTTGACTTTGCTTTTGTAATACGCAGAGAACAGAAACCAAAATGAAAAGGACTCGTTGCCCAGTTTCACCGAGTTCAGCTTGGACCAACTGAAAGCTGCCAGTTTAGGATTCTTGTCGGGAAATGTTGTATCTGAGGGTGGAGAGGGAGCTTCCAGTGTGGTGTACAAAGGGAAGCTGGAAAATGGCCTTTTGGTGGCTGTTAAGCGCTTCAACCAATCTGATAGGCCTGATTGCGGCCAATTTCTTGTACGTATGAAGTTGGCTAGATTTTCTATTTTTGCTTTGTATAACTCCTGTATGTGAGAGTATATATGCTGCTGGGTTTGGTTGCAGGTGGAAGCTAGAGCTGTGGGGCAGCTGAGGAGCAAGCGCTTAACAAATTTGATAGGGTGTTGCTTCGAAGGCGATGAGAGATTGCTTGTGGCTGAGTTCATGCCTAATGAAGCTCTCTCTAAGCATCTTTTCCTTTGTAACTTCCTCTCAAATTTTAAAATTCTTTTGCTGTGCTAGTCTGATCTTACTGTAAGGTGGGGTTTGTCTGGTTTGTTGAGGCAACAGGTCATTCAAGATTTCACATTCTTTTAGTACATTTTTGAGTCAATCAAACTGCAACTTGGGCTGAAATAAGAGAAGTAGAAACTTTATTAAATTGGTTAAATTGGCGTAGGGGAGACCCAGCCCATGCCATGGGCAATAAGGTTGCGAGTGGCTTTGTATCTGGCTCAAGCTTTATAATATTGCAGCAGCAAAGGGCAGACATTATACCATGATCTCAGTGCTTCCAGAATCCTGTTCGTTCCGGTAATTGGGCCCTTTTGCTCTCTTTAAACTGTATTTAATAAATTTGTTCGCCGTTCCTTACATTGAATCATGCAATTGACAGGATTCAAATCCTAGGCTCTCCTGCTTTGGCCTTTTCAAGAATAGCAAGGATGGCAAGAGCAATAATATTACCAACCTGGATTTTGCCCCTCCAGAATACTTGACGACAAGTAATTCCGTTATTACTTCAGTTGATGTAAAACAGTATTCAAATACTAGGTTCTCCTGCTTTGGTCTTGTCAAGAATAGCCAGGATGTCAAGAGCTATACTACCAACCTGCTTGTCTACCCTCCAGAAAACTCTTAAGACAGGTAAAACCATAAATCATCCAATGGAAAATAGATGCGTGAATTTTTAACACGCTCTCGAGTTGATGAAGTTTTTAGTTAAGCTAAAGTACCATCTTCTGTTTGCCTGGACGTTTGAGACCAGAAAGTTCTGTTTACAGCTTTGGGACCATATTGTTTGATCTGCTCTGCGGTGCACATACCCCCCCAAGTCTTGTAACTTTCTTCTTCCTTAATATGTTCCATTAAGTCTGACCAACAAGAATATATATTACAAAAGGCAACTTGTGTTTAACTGTGCTTTAAGTTAAAGCTATATCTTGTTGTGCCTCATTCTCAGCATCTCCTGATCATACAACTGGCTTTAAATGTTTATGAACTGGATTATGATTACAATTCCATACAGACCAGTTGTAATATTAAGGAGGCTCTAGCTAAATACTTTTCATTCCTTTTCCTTTCTTGGAAGGCACTTGACCTCATACGCGGTAAAAACGTTAAGAGGCTGATGGATCCATACTTGGAAGCCCAGTTCTCAAATGACGATGTAACTAAGTTAGTGCAGTTGGCTTCACAGTGTTTGCAGCATGAACCTCTTGAGAGGCCAAATGCCAAGTTTCTTTTGACTGCCCTCATTCCTCTTCAGAAAGAAACTGAGGTTTGCCTAACTTTATTTGTTCTGTAAGATCATAGCTTTGAAATTTGATTTGTTTTGCCGATATTGAAAAGCTGATTTTCCTTAATGCTGCAGCTATCATCTGTGTGGTTTGTATATGCAGCAGGTTCCATCATACGTTCTGATGGGTATTCCACCTGGAAATGTGCCTCCATTTGAGACATAGTTATTTAGTGTCAAAGAGCATAGGGCTGGACAATTATGCAGAGGAAGCTCTAAAAGCCGGCACATACTTGGAAGTAAAAAATATATAAGCTGAAAAGTGTATGGGGAGGGGGGTTTCCAATTCTTTCAACTAAACTTGTATTCAGTCATGAACAATCACGCTTTAGCATATTTGAACTCTGCTCCGCAGCACCAAAGGAGTAACTGTATATTAGGTTGGTGTTGGTGTTTCTTTTCATGTATTTTGGTCCCAAGGGTTCAACAGAAGTCAAATTACTTGTTTGTTTTCCTCTGCTATATATGTTTTTGGGTTTCTGATCATGCAACATGTCTTTTCTGGACTAGATACCGCGAGGTCCTTGAGTGACTCAACTTCTAGTGAGTATAGTTTTGTTTTATTTTGTTTTGTTTATTTTTTTTTGACTTCTTCCTCGAGGTTGTGGAGGAAACCTACAAAGAGAAGAGAAGGATAAAAATTATCATATGCACAAAAAATAGGGACAGTTTTATGATATTAGTAGTACAAAAATAAGTAAATACTAACTTTTACGGGGTCTAAAACTTCATCATATGGTATTAACAAACGTATTTAGATAGAAAAACGCTAAAAAAGAAGAACTTTCTGCTCTTCATCCAGTCATGGTTAGTCTCTCAGTCGGCCTCTTGGTCTACTACTACTTGTCTTTCTTTTGGTCATGCATACGTCACGTCTGGTGCTCTATGTATTATTGTATCATTGATATATACAACTCCCATTATTTAATATTTATGCATGCAATATATTCATTTGTGTTTGTTTTCTTTTTTTAGTCAATATCCTCTTTTTTTTTTTGGGGGTACAAGTCAATATCCTTATTTTTGCTACATAGACGCGTTGTCTTTTAATTATTTAAGTCCCTAGCATTTTCCTATCAAGAATAAGTAGCTATCGAGGGGTTAGTTGGAATAGTTAGGCTAATAGTTTGTTTCTACGTGGTATGAGGTTCGAAACCCTAAAGATACCCACGTAGCTATTTGCTAATATTTCCTGCTCTCGAAGACTATTATTATTAAGCAAATGACATGTCCTCCTCTTGACTTTGTTTGGACCTTTTTTGTTTGTTTAAAACGCGAAGAGATATGATCGTATTCAAAGTGGAATTTGCTAGCTAGTAATGCAATGGAAGCTTCCCTTGTTGACTTTGTGAGTCTTTCGGCTTCATCTCCGTTCCCACACGAATTTCATTTCATTTGTCATGCGTACAATTAACACGACTTTTCATATCTTGAGATTAATGGTGACCATGAATTTCAATCTCCTCTCTCTCCTCTCCTTAGTCTCCTAGTAGGACCCAGGAAACTGGTAGAAACTGAAGTCTACAAGAAACTGCTAAAACTTTCGAGATACAAGCATGTTTAAAATTTCAAGCTCTCTGTCTCTCTCTACGACTTGCTTCATCATCCATTAATGGGAACGAGATTCTGTCTTTGCTTCCGCCCATCCAATAACATATCCGACCTCAATGACTCGGCAGACATAGGTGAGAATTTTTTTTTATTTTTTTATTTTTGTATTGTTGTTTTCCCTTACTTTCCCGAGAAAGTTACACACTTTTTTTAATTTGGTTTCCTGAAATGCAGAGGCTGGGAACGAAAACGAGAAGTACTGGCTGCCTAAGTTCAGCTTGGACAAACTAAGAGCTGCCACGTCAGGATTCTCGTCCCATAATGTTGTCTCTGAGCATGGAGAGAAAGGTCCCAATGTGGTCTACAAAGGGAAGCTGGAAGACGGCCGTTTGATCGCCGTTAAGCGCTACACCCTCTCCGCTTGGCCCGATTCCGGCCCATTTCTTGTCCGTAAATTTGCAGTTGACTAAATTTACTTATTCTTATTTTTTTAATAAAAAAAATTAATAAACCTTATATGTGGTGGGTTTGGTTATAACTCTTATAGGTGGAAGCTGGAGTTGTGGGGAGGCTAAGCAACGAGCATTTGGCGAATTTGATCGGGTTTTGCGTTGAGGACGATGAGAGATTCCTTGTGGCTGAGTTCATGCCAAATGCAACTCTCTTTAAGCACCTTTTCCAGTGTAAGTTCTAAAATCTTCAACTAAACTTATTTTGCTTTGTCGTATCGGTGTTAATCGTATAATGCTATGCGTTTGATGAAAATGATATTAAACAACCCTCTGCTTTCTTAAGTTTGAGGAAACAGATCAACAGAAGATTTTAGTTCTTTTTTTGTTGAAGTAATTATGGGATGAAATTGGGTTATTCGGTGTAGGGGAGACACAGCCGATGACATGGGCAATGAGGTTGAGAGTGGCTTTGTATGTGGCACAAGCTTTAGACTGCTGCAGCAGCAAAGGGGAGGCACTATACCATGATCTCAATGCTTATAGAGTCATGTTTGATCAGGTAATTAATTGGACTCTTTTACCCTTTCGATTTGTTAATCTTTTGTTGGACATTACATTGAGTCAGAACTTCAATGACAGGATGGAAATCCCAGACTCTCTTGCTTTGGCCTTATCAAGAATGGCACAGATGGCAAGAGCTATACCAACTTGGCTTTCGCCCCTCCAGAGTTCTTGAGGACAGGTAATTCATACCATCATTGCTTCAGCCAATGGAGAAACGGTTTTCAAATTCAATCTCATATTTGTCATGCATGAGCTTTTGACGCGTTGATCTACACGATCGATAGTCTTTAGTTGAGCTAACTGTACATGTTCAGGAAGAGTGATACCAGAAAGTATGGTTTACAGCTTTGGGACCCTGTTGCTTAATCTGCTCAGTGGCAGACATATCCCTCCAAGCCATGTGAGTTTCCCTTTCCTTTGTATGTTCGATTGAGATGCATTAATTGTTGCCCTGATATTTTACTTGACATCTTATGGTCCATATATGTAACTTGTGATTATAAATGTTCTCTATGATAAGGCTATGTGATTGTGTCTCATTCTTAGCATTTCCTGATTAATGAGTGCTAATTGGTTATCAATTGTGGGTTCTGGTTAAACTTCTAGTAAGTAATGTTTAATTTTTCTTTCTACAAGGCACTTGATCTCATACGCGACAAGAATTTTTTGATGCTGATGGACTCATGCTTGGAAGGTCATTTCTCAAATGATGACGGTACTGAGCTGGTGCAGTTAGCCTCCAAATGTTTGCAGTATGAACCTCATAACAGGCCAAATTTCAAGTATATTGTGAGTGCACTTGTTCCTCTTCAAGAACAAACCGAGGTATGCCAAACTTTATTTGCTATGTGCTTTGAAATTTGATTTGTTTTTGGCTAAGTGGGAAATTGGTTATGATTAAGCGAGGCAGTGTAACAAAAAATTTGATTTTCTTTTCATATGTTTTCGAAGTATGATTTGCATAAATTGCATTATCTCTGCAAAGAGAGTGCCAAAAAGGAATTATTTCATCTCAGCTGGTGTTTTGGAGCAGGTTCCATCATACGTTTTGATGGGTGTTCCACATGGAAATATTCCTCCAAAGCAGACAGTGTTGTCACCTCTAGGTGAAGCTTGCTCGAAATTAGATCTTGCTAGAATACATGAAATATTGCTGATGATTGGATACAAGGAAGATGAGGGTCAAACTGAAGTTAGTGATCTTTCATTTCTGATTTTTCTGCATTTTATTTTGTGACATCCATCAAGGGAGTAAAAAAAAACTTGTTTTCCCCGTTTCCTAGCAAATTTTGTTCTTTTACGTTTATGAGCAGACTTTTTTTGTTGTGTTTGTTAAACGCGCTGCCCTTACTTTGGAGTTACCTTGCAGCTTTCTTTCCAAATGTGGACAGACCAAATGCAGGAAAGATTGAACTTAAAGAAACATGGGGATGCTGCATTTCGAGCAAAAGAATTTGCTAGCGCTATAGATTTTTACACAGAAGTAAGTCAGAACTCACTAATTTAGAACTACAAAATTTGTTCGTCATCATTAATATGCCATCAAAATCAGGACTTACACAATGTAATTTGCTTCTTCATCTAGTTTATAGAATACTATTAGTGGAGGGGTTACAGAAATTGAAGGTTCTTTTCTGCAGACAAAAAGTTACAAGTTTCCAACCTTCACGTGATTTTATATGCGTATCATCTGACTCTGAGCTGGATTTCCTCTTGCTTCTCATTGCAGTTCATTGATGGCGGGAGCATTGAATCGGGAACGTTGTTTGCTAGACGTTGCTTGTGTTACCTGATGAGTGATATGGCACAAGAAGCTCTTGGAGATGCGATGCAGGCTCTTGTACGACACCCTGAATGGCCAACTGCCTTCTATCTCCAAGCGGCTGCCCTGAAGAGCCTAGGATTGGACAATGATGCTGAGCAAACCCTAAAAGATGGTTCATCGATTTGTTAAATTCAGAGAGATAGGCCAGTGTCCCACCATTAGCAACACCGATATTGTCCCAACTTAAACACCTACAGAGCCCTTTAGGTGTGGGGTTTTATCACAAAAGGGCTCGGTGCTATTAGGAGTAGAACGATTTATTTTAAGTTGTATTTTATTTAGCCAATCATCCGATGTGAGACTTATATTCTTTAACACGGCCCCTCACATATGACTACCACATACTGGGCCACACGTGGAGCCAAGCCCACATCGGTATAGGTGGTGTCTTTGTATTGCTGGAGTCGCCACCTAAACGACCTGCTCTCATCTGTATGGGTAGTGTTGGAGCCACCACCTAAACAACCCGCTCTCATCTGTGTGGGTAGTGTTTCCATATTGCTGGATCTGTTGGCGTGAATCATGTAATTAATTTAAATTAGGAATTGTAATCTAGTATAATTATAGAATTCCCGTATTAGTTGGGATTGTAATTACTTTCCTTTTTGTTGTATTCTTGTATACATATAAATACCCTCATAGTGAGAAGAATAAACTTACTCTGAATTATTCTACCATAATACGCATATTCTAAGTTATTAGAGCTGCGATCTTAGGATTGTGGTAGCTTTCTCACAACCTGCCACCGCACCGCTAACGACCACTACAACGATGCAGCCATAGTGCAATACAGACCCCAATGCACCTCCATAGCGCTACACCCATATTGCAACGCCGATTACGATAGCCAGTGCTATCCTAACAGCGCCATACTGATCTCGACAATGTCGCTCCAATCTCGATGTTTCTTCTTGCCACTAGTTATTTGCGATCCTATTTTTCTCCTCCCTCACCTATAGTTATCATGGGTGACGAATCTGTGGTTAGCGGTGCCTCTTGAAATACTGCGACACCATCTCTATCGACTTCATCAATCAATCTTCCCTCTGAACCCACTACCATACCTTTTGGTATCAAGCTTAATGGCATCAACTACTCCCTGTAGTCTCAGCTTGTGGAGATGATTGTTGCTGGCGGTGGAAAATATGGCTATCTGACAGGGAATACTAAACAACTTGCACGTGGAGACTCCAATTATGACAAGTGGGTGATGGATAATGCGATTGTTAAAGGATGGTTGATTTCTGCCATGGAACCTGATGTGATGAATTTATTTATCCGTCTGCCTACTGCTAAGGGTGCCGATAGATATCTTGTGCATGACTTGTCTCGAAAGGCTATGCAGATGAGACAAATAGAACTATCGCCTGCTGCCTATTATGTTGATCTGAGTGCTCTCTGGCAAGAGTTGGATTATAGGAAGCCTATTACTTTTACTCAAGCAGATGTGATTCTTGCCAGACAACATGAGATTGCAGAGGAGTGTGTCTACATGTTTTTGGATGGGCTTGATGATATCTATGATAGCATTCACAGTGAAATCCTTCGAACCGTGCCATTCCCCAATCCAGAATCCGATTTTACAACTCGGTCATCTGCTTTAACCCAAAATAGGACACCCCTAAAGCGAAGTTTTGTCACTCGCCCTCCTACCGATGATGGTTGCACTTACTATCACAGTTCAAAACCTATTGTGGAATAGGTTTCCAGGAGAAGAAGAACGGCTATCCTAACTGGTGGGAAGCTTTCTAGGAGAAGAAAACATGCGATGCTCGTGAGGCTCAGGAGCGCACTCAAGGAGGGATGACAAGGCTGCCATGGTGACTAGGTATGTCACCCCACCACCACCGGCCGCTTATATGAGTGGTGCTACCTATGCCGTCCTCAACTCTCATCTCTCCTCAGTCTGCTACTTCTTATTCTCCTTATATTACTTTAGTGGTTGATCCTGCTCTTACTCATAACCCAAGTAATAAACCTCACTTGCTATTAATTCTCAGCCTGACCCCGGATGGATTATTGATTCGAGTGCCACAGATCACATGACATATGATCCATCTCTTTTACGAAGTCATACTATTCCCCACCTTTCGAGTGTGACTAATGCCAATGGTGTTGCCTACCCTGTTACTAGCTCTGGCACTGTTGACTTGACTCCTTTATCTTTGGAGCATACTTTATTAGTTCATACACTGTCCAATAATCTACTTTATGTCCCTCAAATGACTGAGCAGTTAAATTGTCTTGTATTAATATATCCATTTTTTTGTCTTGTTTAGGATATCGGTAGCCAAGAGATTATTGGTCTTGGTACTAAGAATAGGGGCTCTACTATGTGGATGATATTTGCACTTGGAAGGTTTTATCTGTCAAAGGTTTTGCTCGCAATAAAGCAGAATCAGATTTGGTTATGCAATCACCGCCTAGGGCATTCTTCTTTCAGTTTGAAACATTTATTTCCGTCGCTATTTTCTGGTTGTCAGACTTCTGATTTTAAGTGTGATACTTGTATTTTAGCTAAAAGCCATCGTGCTACTTATCCTTTGAGTGCCAATAACACTCATGTTCCATTGATGTTGGTGCATATTAATGTTTAGGGCCCTGCGCCTGTATCTACTCATTCGAGCTATTGGTGGTCTGTCATTTTTGTGGATTATTGCATAAAGTGATGTTTATGATAGTTTCCGTGTGTTTCATAAAATGATTTAGACTCAATTTTCTGCTACTTTGAAAGTTGTTTGTTCTGATAATGAAGGGAAATATGTCAATCAGTTGTTATAGGCTTATTTTCAGGATCATGATATTGTGCATGAGACAACCTGTCCGCACACCCCTCAACAAAATGGTGTTGCAGAATGGAAGAATCGACAGATTCTGGAAATCACATGTGCTAGCCTCATTGGTACTCATTTGAGGCCCATCTATTAGGAAGATGTTATCACATCTAGCGTTTATCTCTTTAATCGGGTTCCTACTAGTGTGTTGTAGTTTAAAACACATTAGGAGAAGCTTTCTAGCTATGTTACCTTTCCTTATACTTTGACTCTAGCACCATGCGTGTTTGGCTGCACTGTGTTTGTTCATCTTCCTAAGACCCATCGTACTAAGTTGGATCCTTATGCTTTGAAGTGTGTATTTCTTGGCCTCACCAGAAAGGCTATCGGTGCTATCATCCACCATCCCACTAGTCTTATGTCTCATGAATGTTTCTTTCTCTGAACAAGAGATATACTTTGCTACTCTTATCTCTAACTCCTCTCTTGAGGGGGAGATTCTCGGTGTCGAAGAGTCAAATTGGATGGTTTTATTGTCACAACCCGACTCCCCTAGCACGATATTGTCCGCTTTGGGCCCCCCTCTCTGCCCTCACGGTTTTGTTTTTGGGAGCTCACGAGCAACTTCCCAGTGGGTCACCCATCCTGGGATTGCTCTAGCCCCCAACTCGCTTAACTTCGGAGTTCCTAAGAATCCGAAGCCAGTGAGCTCCCAAAAGGCGTCGTGCCTTCCCGCACGATATTGTCCGCTTTGGGCCCCCCTCTCTGCCCTCACGGTTTTGTTTTTGGGAGCTCACGAGCAACTTCCCAGTGGGTCACCCATCCTGGGATTGCTCTAGCCCCCAACTCGCTTAACTTCGGAGTTCCTAAGAATCCGAAGCCAGTGAGCTCCCAAAAGGCCTCGTGCTAGGAAGAGAAGTGTCCACACATTTAAGCACTTCACCTTTCCCTCCCCGAGCGATGTGGGATTGCTCACCGTTCTTGCTTCCCCAAGACACGGGTCTTACATTTATTCCCTGATTTAGTAGACCTGGCATCACACACAAAGGGAGTCTTTACAAGCTGCACTCTGACTGAATTGAATCATCCAGCACTGGAAGATCCTGCGCCTGTGACACTGTCTGAGATGCCGCACCCTAAGCCAACAAGTGGTGATGTAGTATATTCTTCCCCCATTCTACTCCTACCATACATGACCAAGAAATCTCTTTTTGCTAATATGTCTAAGGTAAGAATAGAAAAACAAATTATTAATACTAATGTTGATATGCCAATTGTGCCAAGTGATAGTGAAAAGTTCCAGCTACCACCAAGGAGTACCCATGGGAAGCCTCCATACAGATATTCAACTGATACATTTAAGACGGTGAAATACCCTATTGTGAACTATATATCAGCTCACAGGTTATCGCTTGCTAGACAAACCTTTGTGAGTCAAATGTCAGCAATAAATATTCCCGCAAAGGTGCAGGAGGCTTTGTTAGATTCTAAGTGGGCTAATACAATGACTGAAGAAATGAAACGCTTGAAAAAAAAAATTAGACATGGGATTTAGTGTCGTTGCCAGAAGGAAAAATACCAGTAGGGTGCCGATAGGTTCACATTGTGAAACACAAGACGTACAATTGACAAGTAAAAAAAAGGGATATACTCTGAAGTATGGTATTTATTATGAGGAGACTTTTGCACCTGTCACAAAAATCAATAATATATGCGTCTAATGTCTTTGGCTGCAAATTTAGATTGGCCCCTGTAGCAGTATGACGTGAAGAGTGTTATTTTAATGGTGATTTATGTGAAGAAATGTATATGAGTATGCCTCATGGTTACATTATTGCTGGACAAACAGACGTTGTGGGCAAGTTAAAAAAGGCCTTATATGGATTCATGCCAAACAAAGTTTATATGTTGGAATTTTCTAATAAAAGAGACATTGAATTCTAAGAAGCATGGGGATGCTGCATTTCAAGCTAAGGATTTTGCTACCGTGATAGATTCTTACATTGAGTAAGTCATAAATTTAGAAATACAAAGTTTGCATGTCACAAGTTCTTTCATCAAAATCCAGATACATATTCATCTGGACTTAAGTTAGACAAAGTTATTAGTAGCGGGGTTACAAGAATTTAAACTTTCTGTCTTCTTGAACATAGAAATCTATAACTTTGTATAATAAGATAACCTCACACGATTAAAAAATTATAATTATGTTACCCTCTTTTCGGCCGGGGCGGCCGACGGAAGGAACTTTTGGTCCTTCTTCTTTTTTGAGTGCGGGGCGTGCCACCACCAAGCCCCGAATTTGGGCTTGAATGGAATGTGAGTAGATGGATGTGTTGCGTCCGAGATCTGACTTTAATCAAACGATTGTTCGGCCGAGCAAGGAACCTCCTCACAGCCTAGGCTCTTTCACTACCTCAGAGTCAAGGCTTTATGCGAGCAACCAAATGATGTGGAGTGGGTGGAGATGAAGATTGAAGGTGAAATGTAATGAAACGAATAACACGTGCATAAAGTAAAAGGTGCTTGAATTTAAATATAATTGAAAGACAAGTGCGGAAAGTAAAGTGCGTAAAATAAAGAATTTAAAGACGAGTGCGTAATTTAAAGTGTGTGAAATAAAGAATTTAAAAACGAGTGCATAATGTAAATTGCGTAAATTAAATAATTGAAATGCGAGTGTGTAAAGTAAAGGGCGGAAAGTAAACTAGATTGCGAAGAACAGTAAAGAAACATGAATTGAAGTTACTGTAATTAAAATAGAATTGAAAAACAAGAACAAGAATGTAAAGGCATAATTGAAATCTATGGAAACTAGAACGGGAAAAATAAGAACTAGGCTATGGTTACATTATGCTACTCCTAGGATAGAAATTGAAGAGAATGTAAAATGACAAGTTGTGTGTTGTGTCGGAGGACATTGACTGCTGTAAGGTGGATGTTCAAAAACGAAAACATGATTCGGATTCTGATTCAGATTCAGATTCGTATTCTGATTCGGATTCAGATTCAGAAACGGAGAAGAAGTCGAAACCTAATACTAAGACCGGGGTTAGTATACTTTATATTTGTTTGTTATACATTTTGGTGTTATAGATTCAATCAATATGTTGCACGATGCAGGTGACGCTATCGGGCTTGTTGAACTTCATTGATGGTTTGTGGTCAAGCTGCGGTGATGAGAGAATTATTGTCTTCACCACCAACCGCAAGGAGAAGCTTGATCCTGCATTGCTACGTCCTGGCCGAATGGACCTCCACATCCACCTGTCGTATTGCACGACAAGTGGGTTCAGGATCTTAGCCTCTAACTACCTCGGAATTCGTGACGACAACCGCCCTCGCCTCTGTGGTGAAGTGGAAGGGTTGATAAAGAGCACAGAGGTGACACCTGCTGAGGTTGCGGAGGAGCTCATGAAGAGTGATGATGCTGATGTTGCTCTTCAGGGACTTGTCAATTTCATCATAAATAAGAAGATTGAGACTGAGAGGTACATGAAGAAATTGAAAACCAAGAAGAAACGACGTCGTAGAAGACGGATCAGAAACTTGTTCAACTTCCATCTTTGGTGATTTTGACTTTCCAATATGACTGTGTGTGCGTTTGGGACTTCGCTTATCTGTTTAACAAAAATTTGTTATGAATGTTGGGTTTTGTAATTTGTATCTGAATGGTCCAAAGAATTTTGGAACTGTGGAAATGGGCTTTGTCAAATTCAGAGGAAATCAGCAGGGTGAGAGAAATGTGCTTTGAGCAACTACAGTCTCCCCCCTCTCTCTCTCTCTCTCTCTCTCTCTCTCTCTCTCTCTCTCTCTCTCTCTCTCTCTCTCTCTCTCTTTTACATAATGCTTTGGCCGCTTGGTTCACACCATAAACACATCTTCATACCCTATTAGCTATTTTTTTCTATACGATTCAATTGAACTAATTTAGGCATCGGAGTGCCTTTGGCCAACACCCCCGGGTGTGGTACTCTTATTTGTTCTATTTTGAACGGAGAAAGAGGCGGCGAAGAAGAAAGGGGAATCCTTCCAATCGAACATTCTCGTGGTGAAATTTGCTCACACAAATTGGTGCTTTCATTGAGAGCGCGAAATAATACTCAAAGCATGCTCCAAATCCATTTTCCACACTTTGTTCAAACAATCATGATTGATACAAGACGTACGAAGAGCAACACCACCACAACGGGCCCATATCATGGTTTTGTAGTGGAAACCTTGCTGCAACCGTAAGGAACCATGGTTGCCAACACCTTGCAGCCGCCTCCTAATGCTATGCAGCCACCTCCAACTACCGGCGTTGTAGAACAACCGTTGCAGACAGTTCCTGGAATTGCAGAACAGCCATTTCCAGCAACTGCGGATAGTTGCTAGAATTGCAGAACATCCATTGTAGACATATGCTGAAATTGCAGAACAACCACTGCAGACAACTACTAGAATTGCAGAACAACCACCACATGGTCCCGTGACCTCCACAGCCTTGCAGCCGCACACGCCGGCTGCTGAAGCTGCTCTGCCGCATCATTTTGCCGGAGCTACTTTACCGCGTCATTCTACCAGAGCTGCTCTACCGCGTCATCCTGACAGAGCTGCTCTGCCGCGCTATCCTGCCGTTGGAACACATCATCAGCCGCATCACTCAGCTGCAGGATTTGCTGCACAGCCCCACGGCTACTCCGACGTCGTCCTAGTCTTGGAGCATATCCATTATCTCCTTTCTCTGCAACCACACTTAACGTATGCACCCATGTGCGCATCTAATGAAGCCTTAATTCACAGGTTGATCAACTCGCGCAGAGGGTCAACGACCAAAACAACCTAATTGGCCAACTACTAAGGCATATCAACTTGAATCAAGGCCTTGACTTTGGAGCCCATGATGAGGAGGGAAGGATCCCCGAGCATACCGGTGCGTATTTTGAAGGATCCTAGACTAGTCAGTTAGAGACAAACTGGCAGGGAAGAGAACAAGATCGAGCTGACGAGACACAGACATCTGCAAGCCGTACTATGAGTCAGTCGACGATCCATTCAAGATTGGGTTCACAGGGGGCACGAGTCCGTGAATGATTGTGTGACGAATGCAACGACCGACGCTTACCAACCCGCTCGAGAACCAACTCGCAGGAATCTTCGCAAGCTCAATCCACCAATCTGCCTCACGGGCAGGGCAACTAAGGAGGTCAACCTCTTCAAGTCAACGAGGAAGTCAACCATCCCCGCTTGGATCACGAGGGTCGCCAACGTGATCGGCAAGCCATGCACGCGGAGGAAGTCAAGAAGCTCGTAAACGACCGACTTCGTAACTTAAAGATTGGTGGAAATTTCAAAGATGCTCCACGCAATGAGGTGGACCAAGCAAACTCTACGCTTTTCACTGCCGAAATTGAGCAAGCTGCTTCCCCAAAGAGATTCTCAACGCCTTCATTCATGCATTTCAGAGGGGATTCCAATCCCGAGAGCCATCTAAAGCAGTTCAAAAGTGCCGTGATCTTTTACAAGACCAATGACGCGCTGATGTGCAAGGTGTTTGCAATGATCTTGTTAGGAGCAGCCCAAGACTGGTTCTACACCCTGCCATCCGGGTCGATCAGCGACTTCAAGGAGCTAGCTTATGTCTTTACCAAAGAATACACTTCTTACCAGACGATCAAGAAGAACCCTGACTACCTGTTCAACCTGCGTAAGAAGTACGATGAATCCCTCCGAGATTACATCAAGAGGTTCAAAGCAGAAAGGGCAAACATCATTGGATGTGACAATGGAATCGCGTCATCGACCTTCAAAAGGGGCTTGCCAGCTAATTGTGAGCTGTATCGCGAGCTGACCATCTCTCATTGCCAAACACTAGTAGAAGTCTTCGCGACAGCAGAGCGTTACGCACTTTGGGACGATGACCAGATCGCTGCAAAGAAGGCTGTCAAGCAAGCTGATCAACCGGTTGAGCAGGCAAGCCAAAGAAACGGCAGGATAAACGGCAAGAATAGAGGTAAGCGCGGATTATAGCCTTAGGGAGGTGCTCCAACAGCCGAGAGCTATACCAAGTTCACTATCCCGATACACCAAATCCTGGCCCAAGTAAAGAACATGCCTTGGCTGAAGAAACCGCCGCCTTTGAAAGGAAACCCAGCCAAGAAGGATACTAGTAGATGCTGCAAATTACATGAAGGGCACAGTTATTACACAAATGACTGCTTTGCCTAGAAAAAACACGTCGAAGAACTGGTCAGAGATGGCAACTGCACGGAATTCATCGCAAAGGGGGCTATCCAGCAAATCAAAGATCATGACGCAGCTGCCAACGAACCTCTACGAAAAAAGTCATACGGATCAACACGATCTTAGCCGACTCTAAGAGCCCGAGTTGACCACCAAGAAGGAGATGATAAAGATCGTACAAGTGACAAGTGCAGGTCTCCCAAGCTGTCACCTGCTACCCAGTCATGGAAGACGATCCCGACATCATCTTTTAAGGGAAGGAAGTTCTAAGACAACGGAATGCCCATAACCTCCAAAGGTACTATCCACGAAGCTCCTCACCTATCAGCTTGGCTCCAAACAGGCGGCCAGGCCTCCCTTACATCCATTGAAGACAAGTTACTCAATGTAGTCATAACACGTCTCCGGATGTAGGCCAAACGGGCCACACTCATCGACATGTCTCCGGACGTAGACCAAACGGGCCACACTCATTGACACGTCTTTGGACGTAGGCCAAACGGGCCATACTCATCGACATATTTCTGGACATAGGCCAAACGAGCCACTCTCATCGACACGTCTCCGGACGTAGGCCAAACGGGCCACTCACATTGACAAGTCTCTAGACGTTGGCCAAACGGGTCACTTTCATCGACACATCTCCAAACATTGGCCAAACATGCCACAACCCAGAAATACTCAAGCAGTTCACAATACACTTTGCGAATTGAAGTTAGAAAAAGCAACTGAAATTTCCATAACAAAGTGACCAACCGATCGAGTTCAACAAAAAGATGGTCAAACAGGATCAATTATTCTATACAACAAAGCAGACTACAAAAACTGAAAAGAAATAAAAGAATCTTCATTTACTCCGAGATGCTAGTAGGAGATCCTTGATCTACAGCCTCTTTGGTGTCTGCCTGATCAGCCACGTTCTCAGCAGCTTCACCTGCCTGATCCGCGATGTCTGTCACTACCTCATCTGTTGCATCCTTCTCTGCTTCATCCTCTTCAGCTACCGCCTCTTCGACCGCCTGCTCTTCAGCTCATTCTATGTTCACAGCATTAACTGACTCACTTTGCAAAAGGAGTAAGTCAGAACAGAGCATCTCAATGTCTCCATCTCCAATGGCATATAATGGATCATTTCCAGTTGAGCCGTCCAAGCAGCCCAACTTG